TATCGACCCAAACACCAACACGATCCGCCTTCTCCGCTTGTTTCAAGGTCGGCGATACTACAATGACGAGCTGATCTGCGGTGAGCTATTCGAGGCAGAAATCCCGCACGATCGGGATGACACCTACGAGGCGCTTTCTTACACTTGGGGGGATCCAACACGGACCAAAACAATTACCATCAACGACCAGAAAGTGGCTGTCGCAACCAATCTGTACGATGCGCTTTTGCATCTCAGGGACCCTGAAAAGGATCGAATTCTCTGGGTAGACGCTTTATGTATCAACCAGCAAGATGCTTTCGAGCGCACACATCAAGTTGCAAAGATGAGCGTCATCTATCAAAAGGCATGGGCTGTCGTCATTTGGCTCGGAAAGACAACTAGGGATATCGAACTACTTTTGGAAGCTACTAAAGCTTTGGACAAGATCGTGCGACGACGTCCAAGACCATCGAGTAACGCCGAACATTTGAAAGCCTGGATTGACGAAGGCCGTCAATTCATTTCAGATAAGAGAGCCATCAACCCTGACTTCTACGAAATCAGACAACGGGCGTTGAAAGAGTTACTCAGCCGATCCTGGTTTCGCAGAGTGTGGGTCGTCCAAGAAGCCGCCTACGCCAAAACAGCCTATATTCAATGCTCTTGGATCTCAGTTCCCACAAGGGTGTTTTGCATAATGCCTCATCTTCTGGAGATAGATATGGATGCTCGCTCGCAAGCATTACTCGAAGTCCTACCTGGCCCGCTGAGACAGAGCTCGTGGTGGAACGATACCCGAGACCTTGGCACTGTACTGCAAAAGTTCAGTTCATGTGAGTCGACAGATCCACGCGATCAAATCTTTGCCCTACTCGGTCTATCGTCCGACTGTGCAAAAGACGGCCGAGTTTTCTTGCCAAACTATGAACTCAACACGCTCGAGTGCATCCAACAAACGGTCTTCTTCCTAGCTTTCAGGGAAATCCCAGTTTCCGATTTGTTCTCTCTGCCAGATTGGGACCTAGAGGCCTTTCGTCAAAAGTTACCATCTCTTAGATTGTGCTTACTCGAATGGGGAATCAGTCAGAATGACAACGGTGTCTCCCTCGTGCGAAAGCTTCTTCGCGAAGGCCCACGCTTCGAGAAATACCAGCAAATATTCTTAGATGAACTTCCATTGAGTTATCTCATTTCGAATGGAAAACCAATGGAGATGATTCAGATCTTCCTGGAACACGATGATCTGGATGTTCGCCAGGTGAAGAACGGCCTAGGTCATGCGGCATCGTTCAATCGCATCGATCTCATCCAAATGTTTCTAGGCCGCGAGGATGCGGATATCTTGTACAACATACAAGACATCAAATCCGCCCTTGAGTGTGCCATGCAGTCTCAGGGCTGTGATGCAGCAGAGGCACTGTTCTCTGCAGTGCGCCACCGTAAGGGAGACCTTTCACAGGTATACGAAGGTTTACTTCTGTATCGAGCAGTCAAGTCTGGGAACACACGCGCTATTACCATGCTTGTCCAAAATGGGGTCCCTCCCGATATGCCCATCCCCCACGATGAGGGTGCGGCTATACTAGCAGCTACCGATCATGAACGCTCAGAAGCGCTAAAAGTACTTTCTCGTTTGGGGGTTGATATAAACGGAATGAGTGTATTCGAAACCCCTATATCTAGTGCAGCAAAGTTTGGTAAACTGGAAAGTGTCACCTGCTTGTTGGGCTTAGGAGTTAGGATCCCAACCGCGATCGTCGCAGATTGCGCATCTTGGTGGACTTACAAGGGATGCAAGCCGGAAACAGCTATCGAAATGGTGGAGCTTTTGGCAAGGAAAGGTGTAGATCTTGATGTCAAAAATTCTTCTGGTTGGAATGCTTTGCTTTCGGCAATTAAAGTCAAGGATCGCCCCATGGTTGAGCTCTTGATCCGTTTAGGGGTCAATCTGGAAGTCGTAAACCAGAATGGAAAGCGCGCCTTGCTTTATGCTGTCGAGTTGAACCACGTCATAATAACAAGACTGTTGGTCAAAGCTATGGCTGCACTTCGGGAGGGATTGCATGAATTGCCTGCTTTTTATGCTGCAATACTTCTTGGGGAGACCAAAGTTGTACGTTTCCTTGGAGAACGTATAGATATTTTCACAATGCCCGAGGAGGTTCTCTCATCGTTGCCTGATTATGTGTTCGAGAACTTGTCGGAGGAACGATGGGGGATGGATGGATACTTACGAAGTCGTGGAGTAGACCTTCTCGGATGGAAAAAGCAGGAACGGGAGAAGAAGAGAACAATAGAGCTTGAAAACAGACCAGTCAAACGGAAGAAGATGAATCACACATAGCAGATAGATTGGTTCTAGAAGGAGTCTGTATTGGTCTTGTCGTCTGGTGTATCTCTTTCTATTAAAGGAAAAAGCTGTGGTTCCTATAGCAGCTGGATGATTACATGTTTTGGCCAGTTTCTGCAATGATAGCGTTGGGTGAGAGGTTGTGTTGTAGGATCTCAAAACTCTGATTAATATGAGTAACCAAATTTTCGCTTACAAAAAGATCCATTCATCCACTGGGTTTGAATATTTGTAAGTGCCCGAGCGTAAGAGCTGCTTTTACAAGCCTCGGCCTTCTCCTAAAGCACTTGAAACTCGAAAGCGTCAAAATCGGAACTAGCTTTGTAGAACACGGTCTTATGTGGATGTCCCTGTACTAAACAGCGAGCATCTGTTTTGCAGGCATCGCAATTCCTCTAACCAGATTGGAAGTTTCTAGAGATAACAAAGTTAAGTATTGAACTTTTGCCGGAATAGTAATGTTGCTGGTGTTGTATAATCGAGTCAATTGGATTCTACAGCCAGAGTAACGCTACTCGCTGGTCTTTACCGTCTATTCAACAACAAAACATTTGGGATGCTTGCGAGCCGCGGCCTTGGAGCGGCAGCCTTTTGCAAAGAGAAACGCAGGCTTCTGATTAAATGAGACCGTATGAGGACAGGTGCAGCCCCGAAGAAAGACGCAAGTAGGAGACATGCAAGTGTACTCGGCCTGGTCCGGATCCCCGGAGCCGTATCTGTAGTGACAAGCGAGGTAGCCAGCAGCGCAGACCTTGCGTGCTTCAAGAGACTGAGGACCGCCATGCATCTCGGATACGAGTATGACCAGGGAATCGCCCGAAACGTCGGCGACGGGAGAAGCAACTGCAACGACAGCGGCCGAGATGAGAAGGGTTTTGACTAACATGGTGATAGCTTTATGGCGTAATGAGTATGGGAATAGTAGAAAACCAAGTGACGTCGAAACGAAATGAGTACTGCTGACTCTGGTCATCAAAAACGAGGAGAATCTGAAACGCTTTTATAGAGATAGACCACGATATTCGTCAGGAAAAGCTACTGCCTCTACGATCAGCGTCCGCGATGAGAGATAGTGGGTATTCATTGCGGCTGCACATCCATGCGGAGACATCTAATTTCGAATTCGATGCCAACTTCGGTTGCTGCCGCTGGATCCAACATGCTTAATGAGTCCCCCACCGTCCTACATAGGGCTGACTCTCAAAATAGCGAAAGAAAGCCCGGATATCTCAAAAACTCTCGTCAACATGGGGGTTTCGCTGTAATCGTCGTTGAAGCCACGGAACATTGTATCACAACTCCATTGGGGTTACCTAACACTAACTTCTTGCACCCACATGATGCGAAGGCTCCAAATCTCATTATCTGCTCGCGTCGTATAATCTTTTCTCTGAGCTCGTCTTGGCTCGCATGTCAGGTCTCTACATTGCTTCGATTTTGAACTACTAGTACTGACGGCCTCGTGGGACACGTTGGAGTTCAGTGGACAGCGAAAGAAGGCGAAGACAAGCTGACAACTTAATTCCTACCACTATGACACTCGCTTCAAAAAATACAAGACAAGCATGCTGCGATGTGCGAAGCTGATTGCGCCAAAGGATATGCAGCTCAGAAAGGGTGCCACGGGTTGAAATCGCATCTTAAGAAGACCAAAGGAGGCATTCGCTCCGTGAAGGTTGCACCAGGAGGCCAACAGGCTTTTGGTGGCAAGTGCGGGCTGTAGTGACCGGTTCATGTATGCCTACCTATGTCTATATGCTGCGATTATTGACTGTTGAAGAAAGATTCATAACGGCAATACAGTTGATATTCTCAATAAGTCGAAAACTCAGTTCCCTGCTTTCTGTTGACGAACATGCGCTGATGAAAACAACCCAGGCTCTGGTAGGCCTGCGGGCAAACACCGTGCGAGTGAAACATCCCAAGGAAGACACGGGGAAGGGATGAAACCAGCGCTAGATTGGCAGGCGGTTTAGTGGCTGTTGGTGGTCAGATTTGCGCCCCGGGCTGCAGATCACGGAGACAATGACCCCTGTAACTCTCCGCGCGGAAGAGCATACTTGAACTTCAGTAAAGCATTTAAGCAGTGGCCGCTGAGAAAGCATATCGAGAACTGCGCCGGACGATCAAAGAGTCCGAGACGTTCACGCCAACTTATCCCTGAGTTTCCTCTGACAGAAACTCAAATGTCTCGGCACAATCGGGCGTTCATTTCACACAAAGTTTCATGCTTCAGACACGTCGAAATTTCCAGACCATCAAGCTCACAAAAGGGGAGTTGCAGAAAACGGGTTGCTAAGCGCCCAGGCTCATTTCCCGATTCCGCCTAGCAAACGTCTCAGCGTTCCATCGCCCCTTATCAGCCGAGCGTCTTGCGACTCGGATATAAGGAAAAAGAGAGGATCCCTTCATCGTTGAGTGGACACTTTTTTTCTACTTATCCGGCCTTTGCCCCTTTTATCACGTGTTTCTGCGTTTCCCTGCGTTTCCCGTTAACAATCGTTCGAAAAGTCGATGGCGACCTCCCATCGCATGTAGACCTGAGCGCCTGCTGCTGGTCCCGTTTCATTTCGCGCAAACCGGCCTTGACATTCCCATTCTTTGTAAATTTGCAAGCAATCTTGTTTTTCGTTCCTTCTTTATATCCTTGTACATTACCAACACCGCCATGAGCTCCGGACTAGTCCCGCGGGACGGGACGCGCGAGCATGAGCCCATGCTGGGGGGCCGATCGTCCGTGGATTCCGACGTGGAGAGCCGACCGAGCGACACCCTCCTGTCCAGCTCCGCCGACTTTGATGAGAAAGCGGCCTACAGACGCCCTGCGGGGAGGAGGTCCTTCAAGTGGATTCTGGGTCTCACTTGCCTGTCGATGCTGTTGCTCTTCGGTCTCATCTTCCTTCAGTTTTTCAACGTACAGAGCAAGGCGGCGCCGCCGGAAGAGGCCCACGGCGAGGACAACCACGCCGGCGAGCAGCAACAGCAGGATGAGCCCATCCCGACGCCCGAGCCGGAGCCCGTGGCAGAAGTCACGCCGACGATCGTCGCGACAACGAGCTTGGTCCCCACGCAGACGCCTGAGGTCAAGTTGACGCCTGAACAGCAGTTCGACTTGAAAACTGGATTTGCGGTATCAAACGCGACGACGCTACGCGAATATGTTTTCAACATTACCAGACAGTCGCACTCACCTGATGGATTCGAGAAATCGATGATCTTAATCAACGGACAGTCCCCCGGACCACTCATTGAGGCAAACACCGGCGACACAGTCCGTGTAACCGTCAACAACCAGATGCTACAGGAAAGCACGACCATTCATTGGCACGGTATCGACCAGAGGAACACACCTTGGATGGATGGCGTTCATGGCGTTACCCAGTGCGCGATTCCTCCTGGTCAAGGCTTCACTTACCAGTTCAACCTCACTGAACAACGAGGGACGTTTTGGTGGCATGCCCATGTCACCGTTCAGGTCACTGATGGACTATTTGGACCCTTGGTATGAACCGTCACATGAATCTATACCCCTCAGGGCTATGAGCTAATCCATGACCAGATCATTCATGACCCGGATGAGAAGATTCCGGCAGTTGATGATGACAAGATTCTCATGGTTGGTGACTTGTTCCATGAGTACGGAGGAAACGTAAGTCCACCAACCCACCTCTCACTCATGAACGACCTGGGTCTCACATGAGTCACAGCTCCTCAATCAATACTTGAGCGCCACACCTCCCTGGGCGCCTACGAAGCCTGGCAGAGAGCCTCCGCCAGACAACGTCATCATCAATGGAAAGAACACATTCAACTGCTCCAGCATTGCCGAACACAAAACAGGCGCCGACAAGGCCGCCGACAAAGGTAGCGGCGAACACAACATGGCAGACATGGACATGACCGACATGAAGGACCATGACGGTCACAAGATGGGAGGTCACAGCTCAAAGCGAGACGACTCATCCAAGTGCACCTGGGGCACCTTGCACAACACGCGCGTAAAGAGCGGATCAAAGTCCCGTCTCCGCCTCATCAATCACGGCACTTCAACCCCGATCTTCGTCACCGTCGACAATCACACCATGGAGATTGTTGAAATCGACGGCGTCGAGGTCAACCCCATCGCGACCACCCGTGTGTACATGAACCCAGGCCAACGCTACTCCGTCATCGTCAACGCCAACCAGACCGCCGGCAACTACCTCATTCGTGCGGACGCTGCCGTCAGGTGCTTCCACATGTCGCACAAGAACCACAAGTCCGGCATGCACGGTGCTCCGTTCGGGGCCACCGCCATCTTGTCGTACGATGAGACGGACATTGGCGTCCCGCCGATGGGCCAGGCCTGGAATCTGAAGGCCACTTCGAGCCCTGGCATTGGTAAGGAACCTTGGGGCAGCCACTGCGAAGACTTGCCCTTCAACTTGCCCAAGCCGATGAGGAAGAGGACTGCGTACATTCCTGGAGACAGGAACTTCCATTACTTCACCTTCCGACAGGACAAGGTTGGGGATGTCGTGCGCACTCACGTCAATGATGTAAGTCACCATACATGGAAACTTTGAACACCGACTGACATTAGTAGACGCTCTTCACCCCACTTAAGGATGACGCGACCTTGTGGAAGGTCATGGGCCAGGACATGTCGCTGGAAAACCTGAACTCACCGACCCCGAAGTTGGACTTTGGCAAGGATCAATTCGTTCTGTATTCCAAGGACGACAAGGCGGCCCAGATCGTCGTCAACTCTGACGCTATGATGGTTCACCCTTGGCACTTGCAGTAAGTCAAGTCTTCTGAGATTTAACAACCGCAATGATTGTAGCTAACACCGATAGCGGCCAAAACTTCCAAATCGTTGGCTGGGGTCACGGCTTGTTCGGACAGAGTGGAACGACATGGAATTTCGACAACCCTATGCGGCGAGACACCGTCACCATCCCCGGGTTTTCGCATATCGTTATCCGCATTCTAGCTGATAACCCTGGCGTGTGGGCGTTTCATTGCCATTACCTCTGGCACGCCGAAGGTAAGTTTTATGATCATCGTTGGTCCCGTGTAATAGTTGCTAACTCGTATCCGTAGCTGGCATGTTCGTCTCTATTGCGCAGAGAATGGGCGAGCTCGGGACTTTGCTGGGTTCACTTGATGCTGCTGGCAATGCCGAGGCCATCAAGAAGAAGTTCTGCCCTACGCCGAATCCTCCAGCAGCGCCAGCAGCGTCAACGCAAACGGCCAATCCGATCCAAGTCGGACGAGCATGAGAAGTCGTTGGGGTGATGTAAGCATATGACTGTGAACAAAGATAGAGGTACATATTTGACTACATGCATAGCGAAGAGATGTAAAGATTCATCAATGCAGCCATCGAGCTCAGACAAAATCATCTACTCTAACCGTGCCGGAAAACTGATTGCAAAGACTCTGTCTAAAGGTAGACCTACAGATCTATTCCAGTCTATTTGGCTTCTACTTAGCCTCGAACAGCGAAGCCCTCCAGGCCGCCGTCGATCCATTTGTCGACAGCCTCTTCAAACGCCACTGTCCCCAGGCTCCATCCCACCGTAGGTCCCTTCTTGTTCTCAGGGTTCTTTGGCTTGGTCGGGTCTCTGTAGTCTGTGAAATATGTCGGAGTGCAAGATGCCACCGTGGCATACCACGGGCTGTACGGCTTCAGGCTCTCAGTGTAACGTTGCTCTGCCTCTGTGCTGACTTCCACCTCAAGTCGACTGGCATCAGAAACCTGCTCCACCGCCGTCTTCGCGATGTGCGCAACCGTCTTTGCTGCGATGGTGAGCGGGTATGTCGTGTTCGCCGAGCCCGTGGCGCCCTTGGCTGTGTAAAACAGCAGGTTGGGAAAGTCGTGAGTAGCGACGCCGAAGAACGTTGCAAAGTCTTCTGCTTTCCACTTGTCGGTCAAGCTGCGGCCATCGCGACCTCGGATGGACATGTCGAGGACCTGGGCAGGGTCTCCATCCACACCAGTGGTTGTTGCAAAGCCAGTAGCCAGCACGAGCACATCGACTTCATACTCTTTGGTCGACTCGCCCTTTCCAACTAAGATACCACGATCGGTGTAGCCGGAGATGCCCTGACCGTCGGTATCGACAAGCGTGACGTTGGGGCGGTTGAAAGATTTGAGGTAGTCTTGATGGAAAGTCGGACGCTTGCACCAGCCAGGGTACCAGGCCTTGAGCTTCTCAGCTACCTCCGGTTCCTCCACCTCGTGGTCGACGTGCTTCCGAAGATCAGTCGCAATTCCTGCATCTAGTTCCATCATCCGCTTCAGATGCTCAGGGACCTTGGCGGGCGTGATCTCCTTCGCTCGGGGGCTGCCAATAAGTCCAGAGAACTGGCGCGCACGACTCCAGCCATCCTTGAGTAGATCATCCTCAGGAACCGCCTCAGGGTGATCGTTGAGGTACTTACTCAAGTTTCTCACCCTCTTTGACTGCCAACCCGGCCCTCCAGCAACCTTTGCCCAGCTCTCGGGAGTTGTCTCGACCTGTTCCCTGGGGCCGCAGTAGGACGGGGTGCGCTGGAAGACGTAGAGCTGCTTTGCCCACTTGGCTAGTTCGGGAACCGCCTGGACTGCTGTGGCACCGGTGCCGATGATGCCAACTCTCTTGTCTTGCAAGTTCACCAAGTCGGGCTTGGATTGGGATCCGCCGGTGTATGCATAATTCCAACGAGCCGTGTGGAAGATTTCGCGATTCTTCATGAACCCCTCGAGGCCGGGAGCGTCAGGTGCGCTTGGGGAATAGAAGAGACCACCAGCGGGCATAAGGAACTGAACGCGAACGACAAAGTCGCCGCTCAAGTCCTGATGGTTCGTTCCCAAGTTGCGGCTCAGCTTGACATTCCATCGCTTTTGAGTTTCATCCCAGTCTGCACTCTTTGCTTTGGTGCAGAACATGCCCTGGATGCCGAACTTCTCGGCGATGCCCTCAACATTTTGACGAATCTCTTCGCCTTTGGAGTAGCGGTGCTTGGGCACGAATCCTGTTTCCTCGAGGAGCGGCAGGTAACAGTACCCTTCAACATCGCAGGTCAACCCCGGGTAACGGTTCCAGTACCATGTGCCTCCGAAACCGCCGGCCTCATCCACGACGACGATCTCAGATGGCTTGAACCCGGCAGCGATCAGATGGTAGGCGAACAAGATGCCGTTGTGACCTGCGCCGAGGATCAGAAAGCGAATCTCGGACCCGTCTCGCAACGGCGGTGTTTGCTTTGCGAGGTTGTCGTAATCGGCCCACGGGTCTTGGTCGAGGTTGTTCATGAGGGCGGTGCTTCTGAATTTGAGGCGACCTCCTCCTCCGGCCGAGATGGCGTTAAATCTTTTCTCGCGCTCGGCTTCATACTTGCTCGCAATCGCGTCGATGGCAGCCATCTTGACAGATTTTCTGGGGTTTCAGCAAAGGGTGGATGTTGTAGCGTTTAAGGATGGTGAATGAATGGCTCATGTATAGCCAGGTATTGAAGTAATTGATAATAAACTAACCTTCAACATTTCAACATGCAATTGAGCTCGCAATGTTTGTTTTATATGTGCTTTTCATCGCCAGCTTGATTACTCTTAGGAAGCCCCGGGACCTTGACGTGAAGGCGAAACCTTCCCGACATGGACTTTGAACATGGTTCATGATCACCACTTTCAAGGGCTCTCGACTTCCACGTCAACGGAACAGACCTGAGCCACTTACCTCGCGCAAACTGACGGAATTGCTTGGAAAACCCGAAGTTTTATGGAGCGGTTCGTCGTCGTCGGAGTTTCGTTTGCTGGCCTGCCAATCAAGCACGGTGAAATGCCGAGAGGGGTACCCACTTCCGAACAACACGATACCATGCATCTGTGCACGATGGTGTTCTTTGAACATCGGCTTTCGCATTCGGTTCTAAATGTCGTGATTCGTGAGTTGAGTAACCAATTGATTACTATACAGAAGTTTGAGGCTTCTAAAGTATAAGACAGAATCTCAATCCGTCTCAGCCAGCTCGACGTCTCAATTGTTTGTATTCTCTCAGGACGGACGGAGTTACCCCGGTTTCCCGGATATTGTTTCTTGGGTGGTATCCTCACCCTGGGCCAACACTCCCTCAAACTACGTATACCATATCGGAATGGGAGCAAATTGTACCTAGAATTCAAGTCAGAATTTTACCACCGAACTTCATCCTACTTGAGGCTTCAATCGAGTGATTTTCGCGAGAGACCGAAGAGAGATGATGCCAAGAATTGGCCCCGACACTCGCGGGCTTTATCCGGACTGGAGCGGCGCCGTTGTCCTATCACAACGTCCATGCCGCCGCACGTGTTATTGATACTAGGACCGGTCCCGCACGCCCGCGATCCTTCCGGTTTGACCGGATGTTACCGTATAAATAACACCGATCATTTTCTTGACGTTGGTAAATTCCAAAGGAAAAGCTCTCATGTTGTCATGTTCTCGCAAGGTCCACGAGTGCCCACGTCTTAAAATGTCGTCTTTCTCCAAACTTGCTGCAGTCTTGTGTACTCTGAGTTTTCAGTTGCTCGAAGTCTTTGCGGCTCGTCAATCTTACGATGTGAGGAAGATTGTCGACGCTTTTCGTCACCCACACGATGACCTCACCATCCTCTGCGCTCATAGAGGCTTGAACTGAGATTCACCTCAGAGAAACCGAGAAAATGACGTGCTAATGCTTTCCAGATGGAACGGCACCACCGAGAATTCTCGAGATGCTTACTTTCGAGCTACGGAAGCCGGATTGGAATGCATCGAGACGGATATTCACCTCTCACTAGATGGCCACCTGCCCATGATCCACGATGGCGGGCTTGGACGTACGACAGACGTTGGTGAGCAGACGGGACAACCGGCATACAACCCTTTCACTGGTCAGGGGTACAACCCACTTGTCAGCGAGCACAACTTCACGGGCTTCATCGAGAACCTTCACCTCCGAGACGAGCAGGGCAGAGTCCACGTGGAGACAGTCCCTACGTTGCCTGAGATGGTGCACAGTATCTATGAAACTGGAGCCAACGTCGTACTACAGCTCGACTTCAAGGAGCAAGCTGCAGTCGAGCCTGCCTACTGGGCCTTGAAGAACCTCACAAACCGTGTTGGGGTGCCTGCAAACGAGTGGTGCATCTACAAGTTGCAAGCAAAGTGGTGGAAGAACCCTGCGGAGTTCGAGGCATTGGAATGGGTTCAGGATGCGTTTGCTTCTGGCATTCAGCTTGCTTACATCCCCGTCTACAACCCTGAAGATGAAGCCTCATGGGATACTCTTACCTCACTTAAGGAGTTTGCCTCAACGAATTACACCATCAGCGCCGAGATTGAGGTATATTCGACCGGTGCTCCTTTGCAACCCCTTCAGGACTATATTGTTCATAATGGAACGGAACAGGACACCTTTAGAACATCTGGCATTTTGTGAGTTTGTCTCGTAGAGGGCGCATATAGATGGGCCCGAATGAACTAACAGAGCTCTATTTACGCCGCTGGAGACCTGGTTGATTTCATCACCTCAGACCTCACGCGGTTCGGCACAGCGAACTATACTATCCCAGACGATATTCACACCAACAACTCGGTGTTTGTCTTCCAGGAGAACAAGGCCCCAGCACTTCTCGACTCACTTGTGGGAAATAAGTCGCTCGATGGCCATGACTACCGATCTGACTTCGACTGGATTGTCAAGCAAGGCTTCCAGTGGGTCATCACTGACATTGCCGATGTCTGGGATGCCGAACTGCGCGCACAGGGCAAGCGCAACACAAGCTACTTATTGAATGGCAGTGAAAATGATAGGACGAACGGCTGGTATCGTCGAAGACACGCTCGCGATTTTCCTAGGGTATCAGAACGATGGATTTGCGAGAAATGGTGGAGGGTCCTGAAGACTTCCCTAATTGGAGACTAGTCTAATCTTTCCATTCGTTTGATTGCCCCTTGGTGTCATGGAGGGCTCATATGACCATGAAGTGCATGTAGGAATATTCTTAATAATCTTGATGTGTAACAAAATTGATGTCAATGTGATGGGGGCTCTTTAAAACTACTGTTGTCAAACATATCTCTCGTACTCAAAGCCTCAACAACGGATATCATATCTTTCCAGCATTGCAGTTGGAGTAGTTGGGCAGACCTTCTGCTACAGGTGGCAACATCGCGCTGTAATTGGCCACCTATCCGAATTGCCCCACTGTTTCAAACAAATACAGTGTCAACAACGAGATCCCGCAGTTGCCGATGGGATCATCATGTTCATCTGAGGCGCTCCCTTCCTGTCACTGCGTGCAGATGAACCAGCCATACAACCTCAAGTATGCCCAACTTCCGACGAAAATCATGTCATCAATGCAGATCTTCGAAACTAGCTTGTGATCGGAAGCAGCCACGGTGCTCCCGGTGCGAGCGCCGAAGCTGGCCATGTCGCTATTCTCCCGTATCAAAGACTGGACGGCCTCTACCCGATAAGCCCCAGCATGGCCAGGAATCTTTCTTACACACGCCTGGACATGTCTCTGAAGAGACTGCATCGGATGATCCGATCGTCACGCCGACAAGCACATTCAATCCAGCGGAACTCAGCCGCCCACAAGTAGCCAGCGTGTTTGAGAACGTCGTCGCTACCGATGATATCCAAGATTTCGGGTGGGCAGCTGAGTTGAATGATAACACTCCTTGGACTGGTGATGCCTTCTCCAACTACACGAACATTCCTTCGGTAGCACCGAACATCAATATCAATCCAGATCTTGTGACCGATCTCATCGCCGACATCAACACCGAAATATCCAGGAGGGCAAATTTTGAGCCCTCCATGCTTGTGGACAATAGCCTCCTGCTCCGACCGCGAAAATGGCGAAGCACAGAGTCTTCTATGACATCCAGAATGATGCGAGGAGATATTCTAACATATCCCGAAATGCTGATCAACGGCCTCAATCTGCCCCCCTTCATCAGTCCGCCATGCTGCGGCGACGAACGACAGTGCCAAGAGTCAGGGTCTCATCAATGCCTCCCGCAACCTTTGGTAGCATGCGCAAGCATCATTCGAATGTGGCAAGCAAACAGCCCCGACAACAAGGCATTCATATGGAGGACCATCTACATGGAGCAACAGAAGCTCCTTCACGAAGTAAGTTGCCTTTGGCGTTCTTGCAATGACTATTAGCATCTGCATACTTGTCACTAGTCGCTAATTCCGGTGCCTTTGAAGCATGAGTCTTGCGAAAAGGAGACTCTGATAGCTGCTGTCCAGGCTGCTGTTTTATACACCATACTCCACATTGAAGAAGTCGCGTCGATTCCAAAACATTATGTTAGATCTCTTCTCATCACCTTGGGTGTAAGTTTCTCTCTTCAACAGATCGTCACTCATATTGTCACTAACGTTCGTGATTGAAACGCGCAGACCATGACGTTCTCGATGATGAACGTCCGAGATATGGATTATTGTCACCAAACCGATGAGGTTCCTACTCGGCATGAGTGGATATGCAACCAAAGCATGTGGAGGTGAGAAGCCCCTTCCATTCGACCTTGTTGTTTCCCACTAACAGCCATGTTCTGCCAGAGTGACATCCTTCTGCTATGCGCTGAATGAACTGCTCCACATCGCAAAAATACCTTCTTCTGGCAATGGTGGCGGGCCATGCCGAAGAGTACACCTCCCCAGCACCCGCAGCCTTTGGACAGCCAAGTCAAATCTTGAGTGGCAGCGCCAATACGCGAAGCAGCTTTCTAAACGACAACTCCGAGACTGTTACAGGATTGCGCACCTTCGGGAGTATTCCAAATATCCAGGAGACTCCTCGGCAGGAAGGAGCTGGGCGACTGACCTTGATGATTGGTGCATGGATCATGATGAGTTGGGCACGCTTATCTGGATGGCTACAAAGCTAGACCCCGTGTAGAGGTCTCAATTCTACTCTTCAAATGGTATCCCAAAACATACAATGTCTTGCGACACAGTTGGAACTTGCTCATCTGGTGAGCAGGCGGACGTGTGTATTTGCACAACGGTGATGTTGTGGCGCGGAGACAAACATTCCTAATCCAGTAAGTCCGGACTCCATGCCCGTATTCGGAGCTTGATCCGGGCATAAGGACGGCAACGACGTCTTAGAATAAGCGTCTATAAACGGTTCTGGCAACGGCAAAGCAACAATAATATCAAACTCATTGATTGGTCAAGTCGGCCTTTTCGCACTTAAATTTTCCGACGCACGTAGAGTGGTTGACGTCAGAAGGACGCCTGGCCTGCATAAGAGGGCTTTTGATTCGGTCCCAAATTCCATGATTACCGCTTGATACTATGTAGGCCAGGAATGCGCGGAGTTAAGCTTAACCGTTGGTCCGAAGCCGCTATATACTACGATCGGGACGACGGTTTTAGGTGCATGGTGCCTACTCTCCATGGCGAGCAAAACGAAGCATAAATATAGATGAATCTCGTTCAAAGTCCCTGGGTTATTTCCATCATATCAATCAAGCCTGCGAGTAACTTTAACTTCCAAATAAATCTGACGACAAACAAACTCAGCGAAACCATGGCGCCGAAGAAAATCATCCTGATCACCGGTACGTAGCACCGCAATTGTCTGGTTTGCAGACTAAGAAGTCATGCACTTTTCTGGACCATATGTTGACATTCATACAGGTGCTAATCAAGGCATTGGCTTCGAAAGCGCTGCAACAATTGCCGCCGCTTCAGCCGACTATCATGTCATCATTGGCTCCAGAAACCCGGAACGGGGCGCCAAGGCTCTCGAGGAACTCCAGGCCAAAAGCCCCGTCGGCACTCTCAGCTTGCTCGTCCTCGACATCACTTCAGATGAATCCATCAAAGCAGCATCCGAGAAGATCGCCGCAGACTTTGGCGTTCTAGACGTCCTCATCAACAACGCCGGCATGATCATCACAAATCCCAAAGACCGGCGTTCCGAGCTTGTTGAGACATTCAATACCAACGCAGCGTCTCCGTTCGTCCTCGCAGAGGCTCTGATACCTCTCTTGAAGAAATCGAACGATGCTCGCATAATCAATGTGTCGACCAGTCTATCTTCGCTGTCGGAACGGACAGACCCTACCTCTGAGTACTATATGGTCAGAAGCGAAGCGTACCGCATCTCCAAGGCGGCTTTGAACATGGCTACAGCTCACATCATGTTTGACAATAGAAGCTGGGGTGCGAAGGTGTGGGCGTATTGCCCGGGGTATGTAGTCACAAACCTGACTGGCGAAGAGGACCGCCAGACCAGACTTGACCAGGGCGCCGACGACCCGAAGACCAGCGCCCAGGGGCTGCTTGAGATTGTCGAAGGAAAAAGAGACGGTGAGGTCGGCACGTTCATAGGCAGAAACGGGTTACATATTGAATGGTAGATACTTTGTGGGAATAAACACTTCTTTTACTGTACAGAAAGCCACACTTCTCATCATCTCATCGCTGTACTGATATTTCTGTCGTTCGCATGATTCCTGTATTACTCTTATCCTCTCTCAAAATCATCTCTTCACTCCCAGACCCAGAGCCCCTGCCACCATGCTTCTCGTAGACAGTGTCGTGAATATTACTGGCGGCAGTTTTATGAGCATCCGGGGATCCAGCGAAAGGGCGGTCCTGCAACTCATACTCCGCCTGACTGTTTTGTTCTCTGTATCCGCGTCGCCGCATCGATGAATTGGTTCCTGTCGGTCGCCTGTTCTCGTACAGTTCTCCATGGTAACGGTCGCTCGATGAAATTTTGAGGGCGTGGCCGACTAGAGGCTTCAGGGATGGGGCACACGCGGCGATGATACCAAGGTTGAGTTGGAGACTGTGCAAGTCAGCACGAAGTATCTACCTGGATATATTTCAAAGACACGGCAGTACTTACAACTCCCAGAATTGAATGCTTTGGTAGCTTTGACACAGTCAGTGAGGGTCGTTCTTTCCAGCGCGACTTGGATCATTTACAAGGTCTTGTCTTGGTCCTTTCCGTAGGCGATCTGGTAGATTGACTTGATAACTCCCATAGCAACAGCACTACATTATGTCAGCTTACTTGATAAGATTCCGTCATTTGGTACGAAACCATCAGCTTACAAGTATCCAAGACTCAGCACAACCACTAAATAGATTCTCGTCCGAAGTTTCATCTGCAGGGTCCAGATGATCGTAACCGGTAGCGTTGCGAAGCAGACGTCTGTGAAAATATTGAAAGCAGTATTGATAAGCCCAAACTTGATGAAGAGCGTGATTGGATAGCACTTTGGTTGAATGACTTTGTCCCAGTACCCCTCAAGAGGCTGACAATAGAAGAAGAAAGTCATCCATGCCATGATGCTGTAGGCTGAGACAAATACTATGGATTCTGGTTAGGCACTGGGTTGGAATCTAGATCTGAGCTGGCAACATACCAATCAATGCCCACAAGGAGCGAGAGTACCAAACGCTACGACTCAGTCGAAGTAGCGAGAGACCAATCGAGACTTTTAGGAGAGCCAGACCTGCAATCGAAGAGATGATAGATTGAAAGAAGCTCGATTTCCTCATGATGAGCATGTCTTCTGCGGCAATAGTGATGGTGTGTTTCCCGAGACCATGGAAGGATTGTACCGAAAAGATCGTCATGCCTGCAACGGCACACAGCTATTCTCAAGTCGATCAGACTATCTGTTATAGACAGTCATCCGAATCATGTCAGACTCACCACAGAAGCTACAACGACAAAATCATCTTTCCCCATGAGCTTGACAACGAACATCCGGGCATACACTCGAAGGGCGACGAAAAGGAGAGCAAGCGCATGAAATCCCCCAGTAACGCCCAGGATCATGGCTGTATTGCTCTCCGCGGCCCACTCTGGGTCGATCGGCTTCGGCGGCGTGGCCGGTGGTGGATTCGAGGACATGATGGCCAAGGAGGTAGCGCATATGCGCCAATCAATCTAGCAGTAAATGCACATGCAAAAACAAAGTTCAAGACCAATGACTAGTGAAGAGCATAACACGAGGTAATGAGCTGATTATATGTTGACTTTCTGGCCGCGATCATTTATGATGTGGCAACGAGAGGAATCACAACTGTGCAGACAACGTTGCAGAACAACTCTATTAGCCTGTTGCTAACCGAGTGGTGCGGGAGGCTGCTACCGATCTGGCCGCAGGATTTGTGCTGCAGGGAGCCTTATGCGATCACATACATCCCGTCCCTAGTTTCCGCAGACAACGGAATTTTCGAATTCTGGTTGCAGACACCGTTTCACAGTCCACCTTCTTCGACGGAAAGAAGTCTCATAGGAACGGTTCACCGATGTGGCCAGGGGCAGCATCATGCTTCCTGCAGGCGACTGCATTGAGAAAATGATTCCCGGTGGGATGGAAATATTTAAGCCAATCAACAGACCTGCGGCGTGATTCAAGAGGGTGTGCTGCGCGCCACAGTATTCTCGGAGCTTTCGCCTCCTGTATGGGGGTTGATTTGGTGTGTGTCGGTCATTTTCCACATCGGAGCACTAATGAGGCATGGGCGAAGTTTGACGACATCAAAGCAGTTCGCATATACTTCCAGACTTACTTCTCCAGGTGAGCTATCAAAGATCCTCTCAAAAATATTGAACAGTCTTTTCGTTACTCAAGTAGACAATTCGGTAGAAAGCATTCCCAGAAGTCTCGGTATGACCAATGCGGATTTGTACTGAGCGCAGTGATGCTATCGACCACAACACGACACCATGTCAAAACTTGGAAAGCCATGGATACAAATCACTTCACTTACCAAGAGAGTCTAATTTCTTCATTTCGTCTATCAGCTTTTCCTCCTTGGCTGCAGTATCCCATCGGTCACTCAATGACGAACTAAGAATGGTGACCGAGACTAATCCATGTCAGCCAAGTACAGCTTCTTGCGCGTTGAGATCCGAGCCTGTCGTAATGAACGTTCTAGACTATGGGCTTTCGGACTTTCGGCCCCCTAAACAGCATGATTTGCCATCGCCAGCCACACATGACAACCATGAGGAGGAGGTTTGACTTGGCAAGTAAGCAAAGAAGCATACAAGGGCCATGGGCTCCACCATATCGTCCATATTAGGTAAGTCAAGCCAAATTGTGGTGATCCTTTCCCATACCCTTACGTCTCTGCCAAACGTTTATGCTTGTGATTATCGTGTGGATAGTAGGCATTTAGCCAGGGTTACAGCGACGACGTCTTGGAAGCCAGGGGTAAACAAGAGAAAAAGCAAAAACATTCGTCGACGTTCTTCATTGCCCAGAGGCCGTAGCCGCAGCCACTCGACCCTGGCACATTCTCTGCAGAGACCCATGCCGTGGTGGTGTGATGCGGGCCGACGTAGGGCATGTTCCCCGTCCCCTCCACTGATGCTAGCAGACGTTGGGTGACAGCTGGTGGAGCTCCTGCATGGCTTGGCGGGATGGAACCAACACAATGTCACATTTCAAACGAGATGGACGCCGACTTTGTCGTTCTCGCTTCCCCTCCTTCAAATTTCCGTCGGGTTGGCGTTCCCCGAAGAGGCTCGACGAGCTGGCTAGCAATGTGCTGTGCCGTAGCGAGCGGCGAGCGGCAGAGGAAACCACGCGGCCTGCGGCACACAATCCTTATACGCCCCCAAGTGACACACATCAAAAGCGTGCAGCGTCCACGGCAATCTTGCCCACAGCGCGGAAGTTGGCTCGGTACTTGGTCAGGTTAATTGTCGTGAGCAAGTTTGCGGAGGTTGTTTGCTTGTCAAGAAATTGTTTAGTTTAGACTCGCACATAAGGTTGCGGATACTCCTGATGTAGGGCTGAAGGATAGACTTCTATCACCCATGTTCTGCCAGTATCTCCTCAAAAATCATCTGTCCAAGCGTCCTGGGAATGCCTGCCTCTCGCAGACGTCCATCCCATTCACTGAATGGTCATTCGATCGGATCTTGTCCTCAAAGTCTCCACCAGCCGGCCGCGCGGGCTCTTGACTATGGTTCAAGGATCTTAGCCAGGACGATTTTCCCGTCTGGGATGTCACCACCGAGGGGCCGAGAGGCTCAAGCCTCCCTCCTCATATGAGATCTACTGACCTCTCCCACATGCAGATTGTTGACCAACAACTGAGTAACTACCCGGAGCTTAGCAAAGGTGGCAATGGATTCGCTCGCCAAGCTAAGCTATTGCCAGCAATATTGAAATGAAATTCGGCAGTGATGAAGCGGCACTTTCTTGTTACGTCCTCACATTGTATATAGAGGTCCTTCCGAAGTGCCCCATTGCCACGTTTTTGCGTTCCTTTTTCTCACCCTCCCTCCTCACGCCCGCCTCCCTCTGCAGATCTTTTCCCGTCTTTTCCTGACGCTGCCGTGTTTTTGGTGCATACAGAGGCCCCTTTCATCTAAGTTCTAGTAACTCCTCTCAAAGACACACCATGCACGCCGTCAAGCTCCTCGCTGCACTCGGCTTCTCGGCCTTGGCTTCCGGCGCGCCCCTTGACACGCCCCTCCAGGCTCGTGACGCTGGGGATGTCCTCGCGGAGCTGCAGTCTCAGGCTATGGAAAACCTGAAGACAGCCGAGGCCAACGGGACTCTATCTAAGCGTGGAAGCTGCAATCTGATGAATGCTCAAGTGCGCAGAGACTGGTGAGTTTCCGCCCAAGACGGTCCACTTTGCGACTGTATATGTGAGCTTACAAGTGACCTTGGATTAACAGGGCCGCTTTCTCCGCACAAGAGCGTAAGGAGTACATCAGTGCGGTTCAGTGCATGTTGACTTCGCCGTCGAAGTCAGACCCTTCTTTCGCCCCAGGCGCCCGCAACAGATATGACGACTTTGTTGCCGTTCATATCAACCAGACTCGCACCATCCATGGCACTGTATGTCTACTATTTAGATGAGATCAGGTCCAATAACTAATTTAACAATTTCAGGGCAACTTCTTGACCTGGCACAGGTACTTTACTTGGGCTTACGAGAATGCTTTGAAGACTGAATGTGGCTACAAGGGCGCCCAGCCTGTAAGTCGGTGACCCCTGAGATTTCGTGCCTTTTCGCTAATAAGACAATGTAGTACTGGAACTGGTTTGCCAATACCGACGACCCTCGCAAGTCTCCAGTATATGATGGAAGCGACACCAGCTTGAGTGGTGATGGCGAATACGTTCCTCATAACGGCAGCGTCAGCCGTGCCCCCAACGGAAATATCGAGGTACCCTCCGGATATGGAGGCGGTTGCGTCATGAGCGGCCCGCTCGTCAAGTAAGACCTCACTTCTTCCACACTCAGTGCCAGACAACATAAGGAGCAAATCCTAACAATGCGATAGCATGACCGTCCATCTTGGTCCTGTCTCCCCAGGCATGGATGGGCTCGAAGTCAACCCCAATGGCCCCATGGAGTACAACCCCCGCTGTCTTCGCCGCGATCTTAGCGCCTATTCCGCCTCCACGTGGATGACGACAGACAATCTTGTCAACGTGACTATGGGCCAGGCCTCCAAGAACATCTCGACGTTCCAGAACGAGTTGCAAGGCCGCTTCGGTGATGGTTTCCTTGGAATGCATGCCGCTGGTCACTTCGTTGCGAACGGAGACGCCAGCGACCTCTACTCCTCACCCACCGATCCCACGTTTTTCCTTCATCATGCTATGGTTGACCGTGTCTACTGGCTTTGGCAAGCGATGCACTTGTGGGAGGCTTTTGAGATCGCCGGCACCATCACCATCCAGAACCTGCCCCCTAGCCGTGATGCTACCAAGGATGACCTAGTCCTCATGGGTGTCCTTGCTGAGGATCGTCCTATCAAAGACCTTCTGAATACTATTGATGGCACCCCGTTCTGCTATATCTATGCATAAGGTCGGCATCACTGCCACTTGAGGGTCTGGACAGTAAAATAATCGCATATTTCACCACATAAAATAGCATCATTCCAATGTAATACAGCGCAGAAAACTATTCCAAATGCAGTGACGCATGCTAAGCTTGTTGATGCCTGTAATCTTAGTCCCTAACAAGTTCCCATAGCCAGTCTCGCGTGTTGATTACCGCGTTCAGTCATCATCATCAATCACGTGTTCATGCAGTCCTATCTGGGTCATCATGGCCACTCAGATGCGGGGAGCACTCGCAACTCCGATTGTCAGATTGATCACAATACCTTCAACAATGGAGTCAAATTCGATCTACAAAGCACTTGACCCGGAAGACAAGCAGATCCGACTAATCAGAATCGATTCGGGCCTTGAAACAGCGCAGATGACAGTCACTCTCGAAATCGCGAGTCTTAAGGACAAGCCGTCGTTTGCGGCGCTATCATACGTTTGGGGCGACCCATCTATCACTGAAGAGATCTCAGTCAACAGCCACACGAGCCGCGTCACGGACAATCTGGCCGCCGCATTGCGCCACATATTCAAGCAACAGGAAGTCATCACCAACGCTCAACAGCAGCAATCAGGACGCACTGTACAGCCTATCTCACGCCTCTGGGCCGATGCACTCTGTATTAATCAGAATGATATCGAGGAACGCAGCCAGCAAGTGGCCATGATGGGCGAGCTCTACTCCTCGGCATCTGTGGTTCTTTCGTGGCTGTCTTCCGTGGACGGCGATCTGCCCTTCACCTTTCAGACGCTCGACAGCATATTTCGCGAAGTTGAGATTGAAAACAGTGGCGAGTTTGAAGCTGTCGTTTCTCGTCCACAATGGGTGCGTAAGTATGCTGTCTTCGCCCGGCCACGGATGGACGATTGGGTACGTGGTTTCAAAAACTTGGCTGAGCTGCCATACTGAAGACGAGTCTGGATCTTCCAGGAGGTGGTCTTATCGAAAAACCTCGTGTATCTCTGCCCGTCAAGCGCAATTCATCGAACAATGCTTGAAAAGAGCGTTCGCTATCTATTACGCTTAGCTGAGGCATCGCCAACACTGGACAACAAAGGATTCGAGGTTGCATTGGCGATGCTAGGGATGTACACGCCGGACTTCAGCTGGTTGCTGTCCAAGGCATCCGCTGCGAGTTCCCCCGGACTGACTCGAGTAAACAATAATGTTGCAGCTCGGATCGAGACCTCCGTGTCTGGTTTAATCCACGATGCAACGAACCCGAGAGACCATGTCTATGGCATACTCGGGGTGGCCGCATTGGATATACGTCCCGATTACAAGAAGAGTCTGGTTGAGGTTCTGGAAGACTACGTGCGAGCCGTCATTCTCGAAAGAGAAGTCCAACCGGAAGAATGCTATCTTGCTTTCCTGAGCCAGGTACCGAGAGGCCTTCGGCAGCGTGTCGGACTATGGGACGTGCCAACCTGGGCGCCTTGCCACGGAGTCGAGTATCGATCACGACCCAGAGGGCACAACTTTACAGCTAGGGGCCTATCTTTTAGTCGTACGCCAGCTAAAACTAGCTCGAGTTGCAAAATAACGTCTGAGGGGCACCTGAGGCTCCTTGGATGTCGTGTTCAATCTATCACAAGGATAATCGACGCACCAAATAGTATCCCAAATGATCAGATAGGCCGTCTTCTACATCTCTTTGATGATCTGTTACAGCGACGCGGCGACACCTACGTAACAGGAATATCGACAGTACAAGCTCTCGCACAAACGCTGTTCCGCAAAACGGAAGGAGAGATGGACATTCAGCCACTTTTGGCCCGCGTAAGAAGATACGACGATGGTGTTCCACCTAAAGGCGCGCTCTTGGAACAAGACGATCGATGGACCACAAACTCGAAGCAACTTGGCTCGTTACCGCAAAGTAGCTTTCCTACTCTGCGAAAGCACCTAGAGCGCGCTAGTTTCCGGCTGCCAGCAGGAAAGACGGAAGTTAGCGGTGCGTCGGGGGTGGAAGAATTGCTGAAGGAGTTTGCAGGAAATTGGTGGCCACTTCTAGAGACGCAACTGAAAGTATCCCAGGAGACAATTTTGTTCGAAACGGGTGATGGATATCTTGGGCTTGGGCCTGGGGAGCTGGATTCGGGTGATTTGATTTGCGTTCTTGATGGATGCCAATCACCCATGGTGCTGAGGAAAGCCGGAAAAGTCAGCAATGACCTCACCTATTGCATCGTCGGCCCTTGCACTGTGCCTGGACTTATGCAAGGGGAAACCAAAAGTCTTCTGGAGGCGGGGATGACAACAGTTGCCATGTTTGACTTGTGTTGATGATGTCTACAGTGGGTGTGATATTGTCTTTCCAGCGCTTGGATAGAGACCGCCTAATTTTTCCGTGCCTGCGCGGCTATATTTCCTGTGCACTCAAACAATCCTATCGAAAACGACAGTAATAGTAGTAATAGTAAGGACGAGGATGAGGATAACTATAACGATAAGAACGACGAGGATAGAAGTGACGACTAATAAATATAATAATAACGATTCAGACGACGAAAACGATGAAGACACCGACGGTAATGTGGTCAGAGTATAGCCACAGGAAAAAGTAGTCGCTCTAGCACAGGAAAGATAGGCGACAGCACGGCTGAGTACGTTTCGTATTAAAAACACCGTTTTATAAACGGAATGAAACCCTCAATTAGTACGAGATTGAACTGTGACAGTGACTCAGGCTTTGCTCCCGCATCTAAGATATTAATCTCGAGAAAAAGTAGGAACTCATGGCCCGGGTATAATCAAACTTGCATCGGCTCAGCGTCCAGGGGGCTCTCATGAACGCTTAAAAAATGAGACCATCAGGGCAATGATGATGCTGCGAGAAGTATTATTTGCACCTTCAGTGGCTTCTTCAAAGTTGCTTCAAGTGAAACATAGACATCACGTCCCAATTAGCTCAGGCAAAAGACACGGACCCAAGTTTATTTCTGGCAGCTGTCAAAGACGCCATGCAGAGGCCGACTCTAACCTGTAATCAGAGTGCACTGATGCCAGGCGCTAAGCTAGAATCATGGAATCGCTGACCGGTACATGCTATTCAGCTCAGGACTTCTGTTGGATTCGGATTTCAAAGAGGACGACCAAGTACAATGGCTTAGAAACGAAAGACGCTTTTCCCAGTGAGATCTATCAGGCTTTAGATCAACTATTTAATCGGTATAAGAGACAGGCAACGTCGAGCATTAACAACGAACCAAATGAATGCAGCATTGCAAGATTGGGATTCCACTCTGCCTGCAGGCATGATTTTGGTTGGTTGCCAGACCGAACTGATGGTCTTTGCTCGGTAACCATAGTGACTCGAAGGTCCCTGAAGAAAAAGACACTGGGGAATCGCAGTTTGATAGCTGCAAGAGCGTCAAACTGGGCCATGAATCCAGGTCAATCCCAGTTGATGCCGACGCGTCTGCACGCAACCAAGGTGATGAAGATGACCGGCAGGTCTCCAGCAGAAGAGCCGATAGAAGAGGCGCAGCAAGATGATGATGAAGTGAGAGGCCCAAGAAAACCTGGAAATCCCCACTTTAGGCTTCACCGTTTCAATCGTGAACTCTTCAGTCATCCCTCTAGGCGTGTAGCCAAGCGCCGAGAACACCAAGAGCAGAAGCCCAGCTCACTGCTGACGCCGTCGAAGAGCCACCGCGGTATCGATCGCACCCAATAAACCCCGAGTTGGTACCTGCGCATGACCCCTGCAAGGTGACCTGGTCAGTGGATCGAGCGGTTCGCTGTTCTCTGTTCTGACAATCCACAAATGACTCCGTTGTGGACCCCCTTTTTTCCAAGCTTCCCAGCCTCTTTTTATCCACAGCTTTCGCCGCCGCCGACACGCGCAATTCCCCAGATGACGTTCGACGAAGAATTCCACATGCAGACATGACAGGTTCCATCTGAGCCGTCGGAGACATCAATTTGTCGACAGCTAGAACCTTGTTCACCTCACTCACCGGCCTTTGAACATGAGCACGCCCTGTCTCACTTCATAATGGGCGGAGTCATACTGAGCCCTTCCGCAATGCCGGCGTCGACCGGGCTGTCTGAGGCTCCCGCGCCAACGCCCGCCGGCGACGTCAACTTTGGGCGATTATTCCAACGCGATGAAGACACGGCGCAGATTCTCATCACGCAGACCGTCACACGATCGTGGACTACCTACGTCACAGTCGAAACCCTCCACGGCGGCCTCCCAGCAGAACCGACCGCCCGGTCGTCATCAGGCCTTTCCGGGAAGCAGCTCGGCATCATCCTCGGATCCGTGCTCGGAGGAGTCTTGGTTCTCAGTCTCATCGGCTGCTATTTCCTCTGCAGAAGATGGAAGTACTGGCATAAGGGCCGCATCCCTAGATCGCACACAACATCACCTTACGCCCGGACAAAACCGAAGTTCCGGTTCGGCCTAAGTACTTCTCCCATATTCAACAGCCTTCTTGAGGTTTCACTAACGTCCAGTAGCTTCTTCACGCCTGAATCTGGCATCTGTATTTACTCCTGGTACCCGCCAGAACCCTCGTTCTCGTTCAACCTCGCCGTCTTCCCTTTCTTCGGCGCCTCCCGTGCCTCCGCCGGCGAAGCCACCTCCCGCTTTTTCTGGCGGCTTCAAAGGCTGGTTCGGAGGCGGCGCAAAGCCGGATGAGAAGAGAGGTGGAGGAAGCTCCGTCACGAGCAGCAGCGTCTCTTAAAGAAACGGAGATACAGAGGCAGGCCCGCCTGAAGATTGGTCAACTGGGCGGCAGCATAGATTCTCATGGTAAGTTTTGGCTCAGTGGTGCAACAGCATGGCCATCATTCTGACCAACCCCGACGCGAAAACAGAAGCGACAAATGATTTATGTAAACGTATTATGGAGTTTGGGTTAAGATCTCGGTTATGACAAAAAGAATTCTCAAGACGCATCAACTTCACTTGTTTCATCGCATTACATCACCCAGAAAGAGTTCGGAATATGAGATAGATTGAATGGGATGTCTCCCACATATGGGAACACGGAACGACTAATCAAATTGATACCGCATTGCCCTATCCTGCACTGCCTCCATGCCGGCCAGATGCTCATCAATGACTTCATCTCTCACCTTCGTCGCCTCTTCCATGCCCATAGGCCACTCTCCGACCTCCGTCATGATCCGATTGATGATCTCCTGCGGGACGTGATGACCTGCCCAGTCGATCTTTGCCGGTCCCTCCTCCACCCACCAGTCGTGCTGTTGCGGCGGCACATTGCGCGTAGAGCAAATGCGGTAGTGGGGATCGACAAGATGCATCGTCAAGCAACGCCGGCGGCCCGGACGCGAGCGGTCCAGCAGCTCATACGCCTCTACACGGTGCTGCAAGGTGTTGGGATAAGCCACCAGTCGGCCATCGGGGGCGAAGATGGTGCCAAGCTCCTGCAGCGCGTTGGGTTCCTCATTGTCGCCATGGAGTTGACGAGGATCTGCAAGACCATAGATCCCCGCGAGTGGTGCAAGATCTCCTCGCGTGTAAACATGAGCGTCTGCGTCTAGGTCTGCCTCGACCCGTAAAGAAATGGCACCAGATGTCTCGGTTGTGTTAATGCTGTCAAAATACACCAGCGAAGTTGCCACGATGTGCTCGTTCCCCATGCCATTGAGGCGCCAATCTGTGGAAGGTCTTCCTTTCATGATTAGCGATTGTGACCTTACAGGCTTCAGGGAATGTGTTATAGTATTCTTCACTTACTGTGCTGGGTTTTCAGGCGTCAGTTCGACGGTTGAGAGTTGAACAACAACTTGCAGACCCTGTTTGAGAAAATTGTCCTTCAGCGAAACAGCGTAAAACTGGTGGTCTGGCCCACGTTCCAGCGGAGAGAATCTCGACACAGATTTCGTTGATGGCTTTCTTGGGATGCGGCCTCTCACAAGAGATTTCCCAGTCTTTCCTTGCCTCCAGTCATCGTACGTGAAGGAAATGCCCGGCTCAGGGTGGAGCCAGTGTTTGAGGCGCTCATGTTTGACTCGGACAGCCCAGGCCAGGCCAAGATCTTCCCAGTCTTCTTCAATGGTCGGAAGTCCGACTCGAGAGGTCACATCCTGCTGCAATGCGGGAGGCAGCTCCGGGATATGAAGATACTCTTCCACTCTTGTCTTCGCCTCGCTATACTCCTTCGCCATTCTATCCCTCTCGATCTTGTCCAGGCCGACAGCCCAGTCTGGGAAAGGAGGCCACCAAACCACACCGAATGTTCTGATGCGACTGGGGCATCGCCCTCGGTTACGATAGGCAAGAATATCGTTCCAAGGCTTGATGGATAATGAGATAAACTGTTCGATGGTGCTGTAGAGGCTCTTGTGGGCCCCTGGGTGCAGGTTGTTTATGTATGAAGTGATCTTGACGTCTGGACACCTATCAGAATTTGTGTTGGCTTCAGAGAAGTCGACTTCACAAGGAAGCCATTGGAAGCGGTTTGAAAAGCGTTCCGTATGAGTATCCCAGGAGTTTAGCCATTGGCGGCGATGGTTTCGCATGTTCTCGCGCCTCTTCGCCGTGGTCAGGGGCTCAAGCAGTTGGCGACGGGCTGTTTCGCCTTTTCCAACGCTGTCGATGACATGTTCCAAATCGACCTGACCGCCCTGTGAAAGAACTTTGGTTTGGCCATATACCAAGGGAAACATGTTCGGGTCGACTCCAAACGAACAATCGCGCCAGACCGAATCCGTTTGTAGCCTGAGTTGTTCCAAAAGGGAGGGCGAAACCAGTCCATCTGACTTGCACACCCGTGATGCCGAGCTGAGAATACATATATATCCTCGCTCATTAACATCTTTCGCCATGTCTTGAAGTTCGAGAAGACACCAGTCCCATGCGAGAGGGCTCATCAAGGGGCGAGCCAAAGCCTCTGCCCGCCATGTCGCCACCTTGGCATCATCGAACACATCCTTGGACCAGCCCGGCTTGTCAGTAATATCATTGGTAAGAGAAATCATGGCTATTTCCCGAGCAGCCAGGCGGTCTTGGGCCCAGTCGTTGAATCCATGAGCGAACCGCTCATCATGGCTGCGCTCGATAGACACAGCTAGGGGGAAGCCAGGGACATTCAAAGGACCGTTGCCTGTGTTGTCGAATTCAACGCCGGGTTCGCCATCGCCATACGTCTTGAGGTAATGGTCGCTTGCGCGGGTCTTTGCAGCTGACATGGCACCCAGGGCGAGTGGCAAACGGAGGAGTGTGCTCGAGGTTGTGGTAGAGGTTGAAGTGAGCAGAATTGGCTTGTAGAAAAACCTAGGAATCGGCTGTTATTATGCTGAATATCAAGATGGTCTGTGCGTTGACAATAGCTTTCCAATCGTGCCTTCGGCACTTTTGCCGGGGAGCATCCAGATTGATTACATGAGGCACATGTCAACCTGGGTACCCAACGCGAATTAGATGTGAACAATGTACGATCCAATAGCTACGTCGAAACCCTTTAAAGTCCCGGCAAATTTCATTTGACATGGCAAATTCTCAAATAATTACCAGCCGCTATGGGTCTGCCGATCTCAGAGGTCAACAGTGACGATGATACAATCAGACTAAACCCTAACCCCGCCTTCTCCTTAATCGTCATCCATGGATCGCAAGCCAACTGCTCAAGATTTCCACAACAAACAGAAGACCTCAGCAACTAGTATCGACGCCGTTCACACGATCCATGTGGTTCTTCACAGCATCAATGAGCCCTCGGTGGTTGTCAGGGTCCTCACTCTCGTACTCACTAATCAGATTAGTCGCCTGATCTAAGATTTCCTGCACAGCAACAAAGTCATTCCCATGTTTCGCCATGAGATTGTCCTCCATAGTGTCGAACTTGAAAGTGATATGTTTGTTAGCAGGAAGCCTTTGTGGACATGACAGACATAGGACATTGAAGCAGAACGTACATCGATTCCGTCGTACTCCCTCCCGAGTGGTGACGTTTCCGTTTGGGTCTCAAAATCAACGCCCAAAGCTTTTGCAATCTCGTCACCATTGTTGGCAACGATGCCTACCATGTTGTCGGCCTTGCGCTCTCCATACACTCCCGAAATGGCCTCGCGAGCTCGGTCAAGGTTTGCGGTTGCTCCCTTTGACCTTGACCATTGCACCGAGTCGGTCACTTTCTTGATGACCTTGTAGTAAAGAGTGTTGTATACTGTCAAATCTTTGACGAGTGACGTTGGGTCAAGGTGCACTCTTTGAAATCCTGCATTATGCAGGTCTTCCGCAATGGTGGCAAGAGGGGTGTCGTGAGTGTAGGCGTCTGGGTCGATGGCGCCGGTATATCCATCAAGATCATCGTAAACACTGTGGACAAACTCATTGAAGTTGCACGCTCTTCTGGAACCATCTCCAGGGTTACAATACGGTGCCAGCCACATGTCGTCGATGGTGAGCGTGCTGTCAGCAGCTACGGCGTCGTACTCCATGCGATATGCATAATAGACTATGCCCACGTGAGCTTGAGAACAGAATTTGTGGCCGAATCCAAGTAATGGTGACGTGGAAGAATCAGACTTACAGTACAGCGCCTCAAAAGGCGCCGCATACACAGAGGCAAGGACTCTGACTGTGAACGAAAAGAAAAGAGCAAGTAAAGTAAAACGCATATTGAATGAGGGAATGGACGGCACCAAGGCGCACCGAAAAGCAGAACAGATCCTGAATGTAACTTTTCCTGAGATTCAGAATATTAACAGCTGCGCTATTTGTGTGTCTTCAATCAATGGAGGGGTATACATGTTAAAGGAAATCCCGCGAATACATTACTCAACGTCTCGACCGCAGTCCAATATCCAAAAGAGACACTCAGCTCCGAGATGGACACTGGTGATAAAGCAAGGGAAATTACTTTCATGATACGATTCACCTCATGCGGTAGGTACTAGGCACCTGACTTCTCCAGAGTCACAACGTCTATCAGAAACGTTATCACAATAGCTAAGGCAGGACCACTCGAGAAGACATCATTGGTTGACAGGTGATCCTTCAGTGCCGTGTTCCGTTCCTGTCAGCTGTGAACTCAAACCATGGAAACACCAGATGCTCTATGTGCGTTGACCTCCATGGCCGGATGGCTCATTAGAAGCCTTTTGCAGCCGAGGCCCCCGAAATACCCTGTCTCGAGCACCTCCCTTTTCGGCTCGCATCGAAGCAACCCTACAACCAAAGTCCCAAATGCTATCCAAGTGCGTGATTCATTCGACATTTGAAGAAATCACAAAGGCTTGTTTTTCGGCTACGCCATTTCTGGCATTCAGCGCCGTGCTTACAGCCGCTGTTGGTCTCCATTATTTAGGCAGCCTGACAACAAGGCTCAACTGGCGCGACCCTGACTGCAGATTAAAATGAGATGATAGCGGAAACCCACCAGGACCCTTGGGAGTTCGGCAAACCGGCTCATTGAGTGATGTCTGGACCGCATCGAATGCTTTTTGATGCTTTTGGGAAACCGTGATATAAGTTAACTTGGTGTGAATAATGATGAGAACATGGAGCCGCGCATCGCATATCGGAGGCCATAACTAACGTTGGATATCGCTTCGTCGTTCAAGACACTCTCGTTTGTGCCATTCGTCTCTTCATTTAGCTATCGCAGCACAGTCACTCATTTCCACTTTCCATCAAGCTCATGATGTTGCTCACCAACCATGCCTCACCCCATAAGTGGCTTTGGGTTTTACTTGTTCTAGCCTCTCTTTCTTTCGCGTCTATCATTCCATTCGAAGTCTCGCCCTCGCTGGTGAAGCACCGCTCTCCCTCTCTTGACAGTAATTCTCTCTCATCAAACACCACAAACTCTGAACTCGATGCAGCACGCAAAATCGTTCAAGAGGCCATCGCGGAGGCTTCCAGGCTCAACAAAGCCCGTCTCGATCACCCTGCCAGAAATCGGTTAGATCTCAGCCCTTGCCAGAACAGAACCAGTCAGCTAAACCTTCTTCCAGCTACAAGCTCTCGCCTGAGAGCAGCGTTGGTGGCAGTACCAGGAAAAGACAGAGTACCACTGGGGACTTAGAATCCGTCTCGGCGCCCCCGTTGTTGAACATCACTGCAGAAATTGCCGCCGCTGCCGCTCTTGTGGCCGAGGCAGATGCATCGGCCTCCAACGGAAACAGCACCAAGCGTTCTGTTCAAAAGCGCGGCACTTTTTGGATGCAGGATATTTCGCACAGAGGCACTTCTCCTTGGGGTGACGATTCCAGCTACACGGTTCGTAGTCGAGATACCCCGGGTTCGCCAAGAGATCGCCAAGGCACTAACGAATGTCATCGCAGATCTTCCGCAATGTGATGGACTACGGAGCCAAGGGTGATGGTGTCACTGTAAGATTCCAATCCCTCCCAAGCATGTCGCAATTAGTTCGCGAGCGTGATGCTAATCAATAATCAGGATGACACTGCCGCGATAAACAAAGCCATCAAGGACGGCAAGCGATGTGGAGAGGCCTGCAACGGCTCTACTACCAAGAACGCCATTGTCTACTTTCCGCCCGGGACGTATTTGGTTTCCAGTCCCATCATTGTCTACTTTGGCACCCAGATGATTGGTGATGTAAGTATCAACGTTCTCAGCCCCAGAACACTGCGGCTAACACTTCAAATACAGGCCAATGACCGTCCAACCATCAAGGCGGCTGCCAGCTTTGTTGGTCTTGGGGTTCTTTCGACAGATGTGTACATGGGCGATGGTGCTGGGGCCGATGGTAAGGACAATGAGTGGTATGTCAATACGGCATCGTTCTACAGGCAGATTCGGAACTTCAAGATCGACGTCACTTCAACCGACCCCAACGCCTACGTCTGCGCACTACACTACCAGGTCGCGCAAGCTACCAGCCTTCAGTTTGTCGAGCTAATTGCCAAGACTGGAACCACACAGCAGGGGATATGTAAGTTCGCCCACCGGAATCAATGAGGAACCTGAGTCAATAACAGGCCGGTAGATGCGGAGAATGGCAGCGGTGGCGTGCTGGCTGACATCACTTTCACCGGAGGAAACTTCGGCATCTGTAAGTTGACTCGCGACATTGGCCATTTGGCATAGTGACCCTATTAACATCGTCGAAACAACAGATGCCGGGAGTCAGCAATTCACTGCCCAACGTCTGACTGTGAGTAATTAATTAAATTGAAGAATCAGATCAAGACTAAGAGCTCTGTAGTTCAACGGCTGCAATACGGCAGTCCAGATCATCTGGGATTGGGGTTGGGTCTGGAAGGGCATCACCGTCACAGACTCGAGCACTGGTTTTCGTCTTGTCAACGATGGCGGTGACGGAAACGTTGGATCCGCCGCTTTCATGGATACCTCGTTCACGAACGTGAAGCAAGCCATCGTAGTTGCCCCGCCTTCCTCCACCCCTGCTACTGGATCGACAGGTCTTCTTCTCGACAACATCGGCTTCAGCGGTGTCAGTCAGGGAGTTGCAGATACGACCGGAAAGACTCTGCTTGACGGCTCTAGCAGCGTTTTGAGCTGGGTCTTGGGACCTATCTACAATGGCACCGAGCGCACATGGAATTCAGGGTCTTCACACGAATGGATGGGTATTCTACCTTTGCTTGGCGAGAAGACCATAGACGGCCTGCCAAACCTGCCGTACTTCGATAAGGCGAAGCCTCAGTACGAAGGTCATTCTGCCGGAGACTTCATTCACTTAAAAGACTACGCTAAAGGTGCGTCTCTCTGTACCAGAAACTTAAGAAACATCGCTAACGTACTCACTTGTAGGTGATGGCTCGACCGACGATACTGCCGGTGTCCAAAACGCTTTCAACAGTGCAGGCGGCAAGATCATTTTCGCCGACGCTGGGGTTTATTTGTTGTCGGATACGGTCACCATCCCGCCTGGAACCAAGATTGTAGGTGAGACGTGGACACAATTTGCGGCAACTGGATCAAAGTTTGGGGACTCGAGGTAAGAAGATGCTTATCCAGGACAAATCCCAGGGCTGACCGCGTCGTGAAGCAAGCCAACTCCTATGCTACGAGTTGGAAACATCGGAGACGTTGGATCAGTTGAGATGCAAGATCTCATGTTCACCACCGTCGGACCGACTCCTGGTGCTATCCTCGTTGAGTGGAACATCAACGCCGACAGCCAGGGATCTGCTGGACTGTGGGGTTAGTGAACTCGCGTCGCTCCTTTCTGATACACTATAGCTAACTTGTGGTTTCTGACAGACTGTCATGCTCGTCTGGGAGGCGCAACAGGCACTAAGCTGACGCCAGCTGAATGCCCTGCTCTAACTAGCGGCGCCGTGAATGACGACTGCAAGACTGCCGCACTCGTCATGCACGTCTCCAGGGGATCTTCGGGATATTTCGAGAACATGTGGTTATGGACCGCTGACCATATGGTTGAGTATGTCCCCTGCTCCATGATTGATCAAGCACAGTCCGGAAGCTTACTAGAGGCCCTATAGTGACCCTGACTTAGTCAGTGACAAGAATGAAATGGTGAGATCAACAGTCTTTCTAAAAAAAAATGCGCTCATTGGCTAACATTCATCTTCTGGCAGACCATGGTCTCAGTCTATACGGCCCGAGGACTTCTCATCGAAAGCACAGAGGCCGTTTGGCTGTACGGTACCGCGTCTGAGCACGCCGTGTACTACCAGTACAACTTGTTTGGTGCCCAGAACGTTTTCGCTGGTCTTTTGCAAACGGAGTCCCCATACTACCAGCCCATGCCAACTGCTCCAAGTCCGTACAAGGCCGAGGTTGGGGTCGTCCGCGGCGACCCCAAGTATGACTGCAGCGGTACCGACTTTGACGGTTGCGACTCGTCATGGGGCCTGCTCGTCAGCACCTCTCAAGATGTCTATATTGCTTCAGCAGGCATCTATTCTTGGTTTGATGACTATAGTCAAGATTGCAGTAAGTCCCTTTATAAAGTCTCCTAACTGTGAAAGGCCCGACTGACCATTCCTTCAGTTGATGTGCACACCTGTCAGAAGGTCCTGGTGAACCTCTCTGAAAACTATCATCGAGTTCGTCTCCAGCAGCTCATCACCATTGGCGCTCAATATTCCCTTGTCTCCGACGGCAAGGGTATCTTGGCCACGGACAATCTGGCAATTTCTGGTCATCCTGCCGTAAGTATACCTGGGCGCCAAAAATTGAAGCACACTGACGCATTTTGTTCCAGTGGTCCCAAATTTCTTTATTTGATGCTACATCCGCTGGCGATGCCGATATTGATTTCGGCGATATCGCCGTCGACATGCCACCCTGTAACGACCCGAACCATTGGGTGACTTTGGATGATCTCTACGCGGCGATGGGGTCTTTTCCTGACTACTGCGTTGCTCTCTACGCAACTCAAATCCTATACAGGATGGTGGATACTACCTTGGAAAAGTAAGGTCTTCGCCATTTTCCCCGCGATCAGCATAATACTAACAATATCCTACCAGCTATACTTCCGTCGACAACGGCTACGACAGCAAGTTTGACTCTTACGTCAAGTACACCAAGGAGATGATCCCGACTCAACTCGATGAGTTCATGAACCTGGAAGACGGCGCCGGCAACAAGTACTTCACATGCACCTTTGCCGAGAACGGTCGCAATGAGACAACCCAGAAGTGCCCCTTTGGCAACTGGATCAACTCATATGACGAATTTACCATCTACTACACATTAGACGACGAGACAGGCTTCTTCAATGAGCTGCAATCAACATACGGTATCATCCCGGCCTGGGTCAAATTCAGTGAGAAGATCGACCAGGTGACGTGCACCGGCAGTGCGGCAACCTGCACGCGCACCAAGTATGTCTACGAGGGTCGCCCTTTACCTGCAGACAGCATTACGGTGGCGAACCCCAAAGACATCATCAGCCAGGCTCTCCCGGGCTTTACCAACCTTCGCTCAACCCTCGCCAGCATGTTCTTCCAGATGAAACTCGGCATCTGGGACGGCGTCAACGACGAAGTCATCTCGGTGCTCAGTATGCCTGTGTCGCTCGCCCAACAGGCAGTCGAAAGCATGGCGCAGGTCGCTGCTATTGGAGAAGAGGCAGCTGAAGAGGAGAAGAAGGAACTCATCTTGACCATCTTGAGCGTTGTGTTTCTCGTCATCCCGTTTGCTGGCGAGGCCCTCGGTCCCGAACTCGATGCTACCATCCTGACATTTGGGCGGATCATCGATCTCATCGGCGCTGGTGGGAACACAGCGTTAGCATTTTACGACATTGCAAAAGAGCCGACCTCCGCGCCGATGGAGATATTGGGACTCCTGATGGCAGGTGGTCTGGGGCGTGACTCTTCCGAGATGGGTAAGCTGGCCAAGGCTAGACGGGATATGACCGAAGTCGACCTTGGCAAGATCGGGTCCATCTTCAAGAAGAATGATGATGTTATTCAGAACATCATTCACAAGTGCAGCAATCCCGTGGTCCACTGAAAGGCCAAAAGTTTCTGGTTAACTCAGAATAGGCAAACAGAATCCCAAATATTCTTCTTCGCATCTCCACAAAGCTGCTCAGCGATTGTTCTTATAACATTTCATGATCTTCACCGTGATGCCAAATTTTTCAACGAATGCTTGACAAGTCGGGAAGCCAACCCCATCTCCGTATAACTAAAGCGTCTTGCTATCTCGGTGGACAACTACCTATATTAGGCCTAATAGTTCCTTTTACGTCGATTGACTTCTTCTACTATCGTCGCTATTCCTATCCCTCTCTCTACACCTTTTATTATCGTCGTTGTCGTCGCCGTCGTTGTCGTCGCCGTCGTTGTCGTCGCCGTCGTTGTCGTCGCCGTCGTTGTCGTCGTCGTTGTTGTCGATCGTCCCTATCGTCGTATATTCATCACCCGCCCGGATTAGCAAAACTCTAACTCAATAGTATGTAAAGACCATACCTTTACGACAACACGAAATGGGGGCTGCTACGATATAGAGCGGTTTATATTGAAAGAGCAAGATCGATGTTTCATGACAATATCTTCATTGATTGGCATAATAGCTAAATGAACTTCCCAGCTTGTTGACTTTAAGAAATGCGCACGCTCTCGGTTTCAAATGTCCACCTGCCTTAAGTCTTTCCCCGCATAGTGCCGTTGCAGTATGACATTCCGCCCTATGCCACTATCCACCCAGCACATCCGAGACAAATTTTCTACCATGATACCAATCTTTAATCAGAAGAGACTTGAAGGCTTGTGAACTTAAATCTCGGTCAATACTTCTAGATGCAGTGTCAGAAGAATGACAAACTAACTTAACGAGCCTCTGGTTACTTGTAAACCACCTCAATGATAGGTTGCATTGCGTGCCAGCCTTCCATTGCCTTGCATTTCTTGTGAGGAAGTATCAACCTCGTACTGAATAGAATTCGTCCCACTGCCGTGCTTGGGACTCATAATCAGCTTCACAGGTTTCTTGAGCTCCCCCGACAGTGATGCCCCGCCTAGGCCATTCAGACTGCGATGCTCAATCCCTGAGAGAATCGATATCATGCCGAACCCCTTGCCTAGTGGGATTGAGTGATATTAGGCAATCAAACCAAGCATGACTATCAATAAAGCGGGTTGGATGGCCAAAACTAGATAAAGCCAGGGAGATTTCTGTAGTGTATGTCGGTGGTACAGAACTGTGTAGTCATCTTCGTCAATAGGATAGATTACGGAAGCCTCTTCATGATCAAGTTGGGTGTCATTTTGAGATATCCGCGCCAGCGAACTCCTGTTAAACGTTTCGGAGCTGAAGGGGGCGACCTGTAATGTCGTGATTCTTGACCACAGCATCGTAGCCACAGAAATTGCCATGTACGGTTGCATCCAATCGGACTTATTGCCTCTGAATTCGTCTGAATCATTTCCGACAAATGTGGTCAGCATCTCCATCAAGGATGGCTTGTAAAATGATGGAAGTGCTAGGACATGCCACTGAAGTAAGTATCTGTTGCTTGGCCCATGGTAGCATAGTAGCGTCGCAAGAGCCATCGACGAGCTGGAAGCCGCCTCGACTGATGGACCACGTACCCCAGCATGACTGTCTGTAGATGTTGTAGAGATGTACATAGGGCGCAATCTCCGAACAATTTCCAACCCCCGGTGATAAGCCAATACACTGCATTGACTGATCCGATAGGAAAAGCTGATTGGTGAGGGAGAAAGACCATCCGTTGTATAGGTATTCCAGATGATGAGTCCACAGCTCATTGTCTTCCAAACAGAACGATTCAAATTCATTTTCGAACGCACGACGGTCTGTAGTGGCCGATGTATTCAAGGTAGCCACTGTTCCGATAACGGGCGCAGTGATGGTCCAAGACTCGCCAACAGCAAGTAGCTGCTGTATTGCGAGGATAATCTCGGGATGGAGAGTGTCAAGCAATGCCGCGCTTGATTTGTTGAGCAACAAGATGTTGTAGCCGTATGGTTGAGGGAATGTTGGCAGCGGGCCCTCAGAACCATTTGTGGCTCGTTCGGTCTCATCTCGAAATGAAGCGGTTGCATTTAGGTATGAGGAGATGCCAGTAACTGAAACAATTTCGGGCGGCCTGAAAAGACCAAAGTAGGTGGCGTTCGGAATGTAATCGACTGAGCGAACATTCATGCCGCTCTCGCCGCCTGCGAAGGGTTTGTACGCCACACTCAGCCCGATGGGAAGGGCCAGCATGATGATAAGCACCGCACGCCAGGCAAAGCTGAGTCTCGATGCAAGAGGCTTATTTCGAAGGATTGCGTCGTAGTTTTGTATGGTGGATTCTCCAAAACGGGCCTCGAGGAGGATCGATAATGTCGGCGTGACACTGGCCAGACACAGACTCATGATGCTGAGGAGAAACCCGATGACGATGAGCTGGCGATTTGCGAAACCAAGATACCACGAGACGTAGCCGTGTGAGACTACCAATATTGACAGAGCGAGGCAAGCCAAGGCAACTATCCCCATTGCAATGTCCGAGGCGTAGAACATGTTCTTTTTGGTTGGTTCTCCAATCAACTGGACATCTTCTGAGAACTGATGGGAGGGCTTTTTGGTTGTCGTGGAAGGCATGGCGTTGCGGTTATCACTTCTATGCCAATCATGCTGGACATTTCCCGAGTCATCTGTCAGGTGTGAATACCTCGCTGATCCCCCGGTAGGGTCGGAACCCCGAAGAAAAGAATTCATTTTGGGAGTGAAATAAGCAATGTAATTAAATGTGCAACTTTTCGAGGTCCCTACTTCACGGTGGAGCTTTTCAAGACTCAGAAAATCTGAGAAAATAGCCGCTGTTTTCTGAAGCTTAGGTGGCAGCCGACACCATATTTATGAAGGCCGAACAATTTCCTATCGCTCAATTCCCAGTTTGGACAGATCGTCGGGATACATCCATAGCTGAGGGGTATTTCACGAGGGTGGCATTCCTGCATGCTTGTCCTTGACGTTCAATGGTCAGCCTGATTGTAAAGGCCCGCTGCTCCCACCATTTTGAGCCGATAACAGCCAAGAGTAGTCGAGCCAACGCATGTTGTTCATGCAATTGGGGCTATACAAGGCTGTGACAGGCTTAAAAGCCTTTTATCGGACGCATCACGCGACCAGTTATTCCTCTTTGAAGGAGTAATTTGTGACAGGAGGTAGAACAGACTGCAATACGCCTGTCATTGCCTCATCAATTAGTACTAAAGATAATACACTATTCTACAATTCATCATGATCGTCGAGTGAACTCAGTCAGCTCGGGGGCTTGCAGGTCCAGTTCTCAACATCCTTCGACCCATGCGGCCCTGAACCTCCAAACGAATTCACCAACGGGTACTTGCAATGCCTGCGTTGGAAATCAATACCCAACCCCGCAGTGTCATTCACAAACTTCGTCCCCTTAATCGTCTCCGGACCGACCCCGTTCTCGACCCAGTTCACAATGGCAGCGAGGATGTTGTGCTCCGCATCAAACGGCAGGTTATCATTCATCGCCGCGGCGCCGCCGCCCTGGCCAACAACCCACGCCCCTGGCCCCGCCGTGCAGTGGAACATGCCCGAGATGCGGAAGTAGCGCACGAACTCGTCCATGCCCTTGTTATCCAGCCCCATGCCCTTTGCCAGGCGGTCGTAGAAGACGGGCGTGTGCAGGCTCGTGATCTGGTTGTCCTGGGTGCCGTGGTACATCAGCAGCTTGCCACCGAGCGCCTTGAACTTTGACAAGTCGCTCGGGTTCGTGCGGATGCGGCCCGGGTTCTTCTTGTCGGCGTCAATGCCGTCCGGGTCCAGCTTGTACGTCGCCGGGTCCCACTTGGGGTCGTTCTTGACGGCGAAGCGGAACCAGTTCTCGGACAGCGCGAAGGGCTTGCCGGCGTACAGCCCGTCGGCCGACACCTTCTCGCTGCCGGGGTTCATGCCCGGCCAGAAGAGCGTGCCGTTGGGGTAGTTGGTCGGCGCGAAGATCTTGCGGACGATCTCGACCTGCGGCGCCGTGAGGCAGCCCTGGCCCTTGTCCTTGGCGTCGTCCTTGCACTGTATCTTGGACGGGTCGAAGTGGCAGCGGGACGGGTCCTCGATGATGCCGTCCTCGGCGCCATCGATGGTGTCGCACTGCTTGAGGACCTCGTCGTGGATGGTCGTCTTCCAGACGGTGGCGTTGATGAAGTCCTTGGAGTCGGCGGCGCCGGTCAGCGGGAAGAAGCCGGCGCGCCAGGAGTAGAGGTTGTTGAAGTCGACGGCGGGAGCGCCGGCGACGATGCCGTCAAAGTCTTCGGGGAACATGTCCGCGGCCTGGATGCCCTGGCGGCCGCCGAGGGAGCAGCCTAGGTAGTATGACTTCTTGGCGCCGCTCTTGTAGAGGGTTTGCACGAGCTGTTTGCCGGCCTCGACGCCTACGTGGAGCCTGTGTTATGGTTAGCTTATAGTTTCCGAGGATGGAAAGTTTAAAGCGTACGCTCGGAATGAGAAGTCAGTCACGACCTCATCGTTGTTGAGGAACTGCACGCCCGTGGTGCCGTCGTGGCCGTTGTTGGTGCCCACGGCCGCGAAGCCGTTGGCAGTTGCGTACGCGAGATCCTCATAGTGCACACCTGAACATATGGTTAGTCAACTGAAGGCTTTTATATCTCACTCACAACCACTTACATCCGTCCAGACCTCCGCCACCCACAGTCACCATACGACCATTCCACTTCTCGGGCAGCCAGATCTCCGTCACAACCTCAGACTTGGCCGAAGTCGTGAGGTTCATGGCGATTCGGCACAAATTCGCCCCGACAACCTGGCTTGCGCGGCCGCAGTTCGCGTTCTGCTCGGGGAAGGTGAGATTCGTGCCCGAGGCCACGAACGTCTGCACTCTGACCGTCGAGTTGGTCACGATCGTCTTTGGCGTGAGAGCGAGGCAGTCATCCTGTACTGTCGCTAACACCGGCGCGGTGACCGCCGCGGCGGCGACGAGGGCCTTGAGCATGTTTGGATCCGGTCCGGGGAGTGATGTTTGTCGACGACTAGCGGTTCACTTCTCTCGTCCTGCGGGTGCTGGACAGCAAGTATTTGACTCAAGAAAGCGGAGGGACGGCGGACGTGTCCGGTAATGAACAGCGGTGTGGTTTATTAAACTCGACAATGTTAGCCCGAGCTCATGTGAGGGGTACCTGGTCACGGGCGGGGTAGCTTGAAGAGACGAGCACGGCCGGACTTCGTCCCATGATTGATGTTATAGCCCGAACATCGGGCAGTTCTTGAGACCATGAGACTTGAAGCCAGTTTGAGACGACAAGTAGGACCGAGGCATTACTAAGAGATTTCGTGATGTGCGACAAGAAAGCCACGCAGCATGGTATCGATTGATCGTGTGGCTTTGCCGTCTGTTGAACAAACTCTTTAAAGGCTTCACCGTTAAGCTACAGCCGGGGTGTTTGTTTGTGGAGGACGCTAATTTCCCTTGGGGTTCTTGGGGTAAGGTGACTGAAGATCGCAGCGGAGGTGGATGCACTGGGGTTTAGCGCCATTGGCTAGGTTCATCCCTGCATGCAGCTCATGTTTCCCATCAGGAACGGCACTCGAAAAAGCCGAAGGCTGGATGTGAGCAGGTTGAATAATGTCTTTGGTCCCTGAAACGAATCGGACCAATCAGTAATCGGCGCGCCGAAACAGAGCCATATTGTGCAGTAAGTTTTGCACGCGATGTTTGGACCTCGCTATTGCGCGATAACGGATTGCCACTCGTTTGAATGTTCACCTGTTGTGCTATCCTTTACAGATGGAAAGTCCCCTGGCGCTCAGGTCCCCGAGGCCGAGTCTCAGTTGCTGGCGGCCAGAGACAGGACAGCTGTCACAAGACAACAGCTGTTTTGGCTCTGCTTCGGTCGGCCGGTCAGTTTGAGGCTTGCATGCAGGTGCAGCCCGTCTGCGCCGTTGGCGTTTTGCCTCTACGCCTGAGTCAAATATGAAAATCCATTACAGATATTCTGGTGATCCAGCAAGAATAACTCGGGCTTTGTAGTAGAACATGATTTTGTATGCCGAAGGGTGCCGCGTTGCCGAGTGTGAGTGCCAGTCGCTTTTTTTACCGGAATACATCCGGGACCCACCCGTCCGTCCCGGCACCGGAGCCGAGTCCGGCAGTTCGCAAGGGAAGCGCCGTGCTTGCATAACCACGGACGAAATAGATGAGATTCACCTATCGCGCCTCCTCTCCCTCGGAGTATAGTATCGCAAGCGAATACAACTGGAACCCAACGTTTGACTTCGAGCATTAGGCCCAAATCGGCCAAACCGCCGAGCTACGGTTCTGTCATACTGTTCTGAGTCCGAGGGCCCCCGGAATTCAAAGAAATGGGCATATTCATACTCAATATTCGACTTTTACAGGGTCCTGAGGCGGGCGATGCAACTCAATTCTCTGCAGGCTCGTGGTGCTTTTTACCTACGAGACGAGGGCAACTACAAATCCCGCCATGGAAGGAGGAAGATATCTTTTTGCCACGGTATCTCTTCTGGAATGAGATTCGCATAATTCGCAGTACAAGATGAGACTAGATGCATCTTGGGTCTGTTATCCTTCCATCGCTTCACCATCAGGAAATCTCGGAACAATGACCCGTCCGGCACGGAATGCGTGATCTCGGGCCCCTCGTAGCGCAGAATCCATTCGCAAAAGGCTGTCGAATCAAGATCCAGGGGCGGATCTTTGGCGCAGTCCGGCAACACCTGCAACCTCCAGTCTCTTTTCTGCATGACAATCGTTTTCAGCCTTGGGCAGTATTTGGCGAGTTCTTCGCACACCTCGGACATCTGGTTTTCCATGAACCACCACAGTGCGACGTGCTCAATTCTTTCGAGGAACTGCGGCTCAACACCGAACAGAGTCATGAGCCCTGTTTCCCAGTCGTTGAGGTGGAAGAGGACCTTCCCGAAATCCTCCCAGCAGACACCGGAGAGTGGTAGTTGCTTTGGAAAGCCGTGGCCCTTATCATGGAGCTTGTGGAGTACAGACCAGGACTCTCTGTTGGTGGAACCTGCGCGCGGCGACTCGCTGATGCGGGTGAAGAATGAATTCTGCCTTTCTCCCTTGGTAAAGTATTTCATGTTGGCGAAATACACGGATGGCGAAGCCGTGAGTGCTTCGATCCATATCATCTCTCGAAGCTCTGGCGGCAACTCCGGAAAATAGGTGAACGTAGTGAATGTCGACATGTTGGGTATATAAATGCTGAAACTAGATGACAAGACGCGAGTTTGGAGATGCTAGTTTTCTCGAGGGTTGAAAAAGTGATGAGTAGGATGGAGGTACGTGGCTACCTCGATGCCGGTTTTATTGTGTTAATTCATGGACCTTGACGGACAGTTCCATAACCCAAACTCAGATGACTAGGGCGAGCATCTGCCCCTCACTCACTGAACCGCCATCTCCCGATCAACATCGACCCAGCTCTTCAAGCTATTGGTATTCACAAACTCGCTCCGGTCAAGCCGCGACAACGCCCGCGTGAAATCGCGCATGTACTCCGCAGCGCGCCGCGCAGGCCGCTCGTGGGCTTCAAACGGGCAGTTGAGCAGCGTCACCGCTACATCCCGCACCTTGTACGTCTACACCCCCACAACGTTAGCTTTCACCCAAGACGAACATCAAGGTGATGGAGTCCACTTACCAGATACAGCCCGTTCGGCTCAAGGTAGACATACGGGATGCTGTGCAACAAGTGCAGCAGCTGCCGACAGATGTCCTCCCTCTCAGCCCAGTTCGCCTTCAACGCCGCCGCCACATCTTCACCCGCCATCGCGGCGTTCGGCCCAATCGCGCTCTCCTGCAACACCACGTCAATCTGCTCCAGCAGTATGCTCTGCAGCCACAGATGCGTAACATGTAAATTCGCCCTCATAATGTCCGCCTGGCCTTGGACGATCCTCGAGTGGTCCACCGGCCGGCTCTGCATCTCCGCGGCAGGACTGTCGTAGCTCGACACCGCAGGCTGGCTGTCCCCGCCGCACGGTGTGACGGGCGCCTCGTAGCTGTCCGCGGACGCCCACTGGCGCATCGGCCCCGGCGCGTCGTCGAGCATGTAGCGCAGCTCGGCGAGCAGGTCGCGCAGGCGGGCGAGGCGCACAGCGGCGCCGCGGCGGAGCTCGCACTCGCAGCCGACGGTGGTCATGGCCTCACGGAGGCCCTTGAGGAAGACGCGGGAGTGGAGATTGTAGGCGCTCGTGAGGGTGAGCTGCGGCGGCCGCGGCGGGTCTTGGGCGCCGGAGGGTGTGCCGGGGGAGATCAGGGGCGGGACGGAGGGCACGATGCGCGTTTCGAAGATTTGCTCGTCGTCGACGGCGAGGGGCATCAGGGCTTCGAAGTTGACTTCGCGGAGGTCGTTGGGGTGGAAGTAGGTGAGGTGTTCTGAGCGGCCGCTCTGGACTTTGGTGTGTCTGGGGGATGTTAGTTGTGTTAGTATGAGAGTGACTGGAGAAGATACGTACGCCCAGGCGTAGAAGAGTAACCAAAAGGCCTTCTTTCTGAGTTGTGTCTCGATGCAGTTGAGCCCGTCGTAGTCTGAGATGCGATGAAGCCCGAGTAGCCTACCGAGCTGCATGAACTCGATATCAAACATCCTGCTCCTATTTGCCTGCCCTGTCTGAAAGCATGCTACTGAGAGCACATACGAGACGGCCCATTTTCGTGAGTTGATCTGATCAAAATACGTCGCATCTCTCAGTCGCGTAGCCATCTCAGCACAGCAGTTGATAAACGCCGTGCGCGTCTCAAAGCGGATGCCTACTTCAGGATCAACGGCCCGGTACACCCTGAACCGCGACGGCAGCAGCCCGACAGTGAGAGCCACGAGACTCATCAGCAGCGCAAAGAAATCGCGATCCGTGAGGTCGCGGTTGCTGGCGAGGTCGTGGCGGAAGGTCGGCCGGTGTACGACGGGCACCAGGGGGTAGACCAGGTCGAGATAGTCGGCCATCATGATGTTGATGAGCGCCCTGGAGCAGACCTCATCTGTCGGAAACCCCTGGACGGATATCGACGGCGAGTCGGTGTGTGCAGCTGCGACTACTGCGCGAGGTGACGGGCCGCTGAGGACTGCATGCGAGGCTTCGTATGGCGATCTAGCCTGCGATACCCTCGGAAGACGAGGTTCATCCTCAGGCAAGACCAGGACCGGCTCATGATTCAACGACCGTGAGACTGGTCTATCTGCCTGTATCTGCGCCGGTGTCTCAGTCTCGTTTGCCGGCTCGACGTCACTCTTATCCGACATTGAAGCAAGCCTCTTCCTACAAGGATGTAAGTACACATTGCATGCGCAGAAATATGTAACATCAATCCCTCCCGCCCAAGTCCTTCACCCATGCTATGTTTCTTTACCCCAGGCCAGATCAGATCGGCTCACCTTCGCTTCGGACCCCTCGGCCTCGTGGGCACAAGAAAGCTGCACGAGATTCCGAGCCGGATGCAATCGCGGCACTGCGCCCCGGAACTCTGCGCACACTCTTCAAAGTGGCATTTCCTCCTGCGGGCCCGACACGCATCGCAGGCCCTGCTAGCCAAGCTCGCCCTGCTGGTGCTAGTACTCGGACCGACTACCGCAGCCACGGCGGCGGCAGCCGGCATCTCGGGCGTCTTGCTGCTGTCACTTCTCCTCCTCCTCCGCGCTGTAGATGACACTGACGTTGATCGACGCATGCTGTAAGTCACCGGCGACCCATCGTGGGGGTGGGAATCATGGGGTATGAAACCCGAGAGCGTGGTTCGTTGCTTCGGCGAAATGGGCGGCGATATTTTTTGAGGGGGAGAAATAGCGAAAGCTGGGTTTTCTTGGGGTTGAAGAATGCGGAGAATTGGGGGCCCTTAGTGCTTTTGCTAGTTTTTTCTTCTTTCTTCTCCAAACTAACCCCCCGGCGATTATTTCCGGGGTCCCCAGTTGCTTAGCTCGGATTTCCACTTTGTTGGTCACTTGACATGGGATGGTGGTCTTTGTGGAGAGGATCGGGTGATGGGAGGGAGGGGCCTTGTTGGGGGGAGAATCGGACGGTTTCCGAATTGGCTTCAGTCGGGTGCGGAAAGGGGTGTTTGTGATGGCGGAAATAGATACTTCCATAGTTGGGCAAATTACGGATGCTAATTGGGAATTCCATAACGTGAAGTTTGAACAGAATTTTCTATATCTAATTCATGATGGGTTCATTACAATGTACAGTCATTCCACCAAGCGCCTTCGCATGATGTCTAATTTCTCAAGTGATGCCCCGTCTAAGCCCGCAGACCGCTCCATCTCCTCGTCTTCTCTACAGAAACAGACGACTTCAAGAACTCGCCGCGACTGCTCGTGCCTACCAGGATGCCATACTTGCCCGCATCGCTGCGCCAGCAGTCCTCCATCTCGGCCCAGTAGCTCGTCGCCCGCAGGAGATCCAACGAGACCTCCGCCGTGGCGCTCGCGCCGGCCTCGATGGTGACCTTGGCGAAGCCCTTTAGCTCCTTGGCCGGGCGCGTGATGGTGTCGCGGATAGAGCTCGTGAGCGGCGTCGGCGCCGCGGGGGTGACGTAGACCTGCACGACCTCGGCGCCCGCGCGGGAGCCGGTGTTGGTGACCTTGACGCGGACGGTGACGCTCTTGTCTGCGTTTTGCGAGACGGAGAGGTCGGAGACGGAGAAGGTGGTGTACGAGAGGCCGTGGCCGAAGGGGAAGAGGGGCGTGATGTCGAGGGTGTCGTACCAGCGGTAGCCGACGTAGACGTCTTCGCTGTAGAGCACGCGGCCGTTGTCGGAGCGGTAGTTGAGGGCGGCGGGATTGTCCTGGACGCGTCGGGGCATCGTGAGAGGGAGCTTTCCGGCCTGTGTGATGGTTGATTAGTGGCTTCATCTTGACTGTTGATAAAGGAGAGATTGCTTACCGGGTTGACTTCTCCGAAGAGCACGTCGGCAATGCCGTTTCCGCACTCGTTACCGCCAAACCAAGCTTGAACGACCGCGCCGGCCTGATCAATCCATGGCATGGCAACAGGCGTGCCGCTCTGGATGACAACAGCAGTGTTGGGGTTGGCAGCAACCACAGCCGCGATCAAGTCGTCAGTGCCGGGGGGCAGTGCCATGTGAGTACGGTCGAAGCCCTCAGACTCCCACTCGCCGCTGAGACCAGCGCAGATGACGACCTGGTCAACGCTCTTTGCGACGTCCACGGCCTCCTGAATCGCGGTCTTGGGCTCCAGTCTCGGGCATCCGGCGAAGCGCACACCTCCCTGGCCGAAGTCGACCGTGCCGGAGGGCTTGATCTTGCTGGTGGCGGAGCAGCCGAAGCGCACAAGCACGCGGTAGTCCTTGCCGGCTTCCAGGTGCATGCGTCCCGTCTCCTCGACGGTACCGCAGCCGAGGAAGCTGCTGCCAAGACGCTGGTTCTCGACGTTCGAGACAACCAGCTTGCCGTCGATGTACAGCTCACCGGTGCCGTGGACAGAGAGACCAAAGTCCCACTCGCCAGATCTCTCAGGGGTAAGGATTCCCTCCGTCTCAGCCCACCAGAGGGGGTTGAGGTCAGCGTTCTCGTAGTCGACGAACCAGATGTTGGCATCGTCGAGGACGCGCTCCTCGAGCGCCTTGCGGTCGTCGGCGGCGCCGTTGGCAGCGGGCGGGTCGTTGTAGATGCGCAGGACGAAGCCCTTCTGCTTGCCGTCCGGCGTGCGCAGGTTCTTGCCGAGTAGAGGCAGGGACTGGTGGCCGTACGCGCCCTGGGAGAAGACAACGTCGCTGGCGAGGCCCTTAATGCCCTCCAAGGGGGTGACGGTCTTGTAGGCTCTGAGACCGGCGCTGCCGCCGCCGCAGTACGTCGCGATGGTGGCGTTGGGGCCGATGACGGCGACCTTCTTGGTCTTGTCGAAGGGCAGGATATTCTTTTCGTTCTTCAGAAGAACCAGAGATTTGGCTGCTGCCTCGCGCAGTAGGGCGATGTGCTCGGGGGTGTTGGCCTCGGTTTCCGGCGTATTGGGCGGGATCTTGGTGTTCTCTAGGCCGTGCTTGACCAGCTTCAAGATATTGCGCACGGCAGAGTCCAGCACGGACTTTTTGACCTTGTTCGCGGTGACCGCGTGGGCCAGGGTCTCGCCACGCCAGCGGGTCGGACCAGGCATCTCGAGGTCAAGACCGGCGTTGATGGCCTCGGATGTGCTGTAGGTGCCGTACCAGTCGCTCATCACCAGACCGTCCCATTTCCAGTCGTCGCGCAGGACGTCCTGCAGGATGTGCTTGTTCTCGGCGGCGTGGTGGCCGTTGAGCTGGCTGTAGGAGGTCATGATAGCCCTCGGCTTACCCATCTCGATAGCGATCATGAAGGGGAGCAGGTAGATTTCTCTCATGGCGCGCTCTGTGACGATGGCGTTCACGGCCATGCGCTCACTCTCCATGTCGTTGCAGACGTAGTGCTTGAGGGTGGCAGAGACGCCAGACTCTTGCACTCCGTTTACATAGTGGCCAGCGAGGATACCCGAGAGGACGGGATCTTCAGAGTAGGACTCGAAGCCGCGGCCGCCGAGCGGGCTGCGCTGGATGTTGACCGTAGGCCCGAGGAGGACGTGGGCACCCTTTGCGTGGGCTTCATCTGATAGCAGGCCTCCGAGGCGCTTGACGAGTTCTGTGTCGAATGTCGCGCCGATGGCCGTGCCGCAGGGAAGGCATGCGGAGGGAGTGCTGTCGAAGAAGTGAGTGCCGCGCACGCCGTTGGGGCCGTCGGAGAGGCGGATCGGGTTGATGCCCAGACGCTCAATGGTTTGGGTATGCCACCATCCGTTGCCTGGAGTATGGTTAAGATCTGATCTGATCTGAGGCAAACTTCTCAAGAGGCTTACCAGCTGTGAGGGCCACCTTCTCCTCCAGAGTGAGCTGCTCGAGCAGCGCTTCAACATCCATCGTGACGTTCTGTTGGTGGGAGGTCTCTGAAAAAGTTCGGATGAGGGACAGAACAGATGAGAGCTTCGGATCAAACCCAAGGGAACACGAGCAGAGAAACACTGCTTGGAGAAAAGAGGGAAATGCGCAATTCGATCGACACTCTTCTTTATTCCTGGAGCACGCGGGGAGCTCTCCAGACCCGTCGCAACCGCGGGGTTCCCGGCCCACACATGGAGGGCATCAATTGAGCTCCGACAAGCATGACGTATTTTCACTTGCAGCAATGTTGTAACGAGGAGACAACTGGGTCCTTCATCCTGCGTGTCCACCCTGTCCGAGGCCGTCGCATGGGAAGTGAGCCGACGCGACGGGTCACGATGGCAGCAAAGTGTTTGAAGAGTGAAGAGGCGGAGAAATACGAGTCGGTCAGGAATCCGACCACGATCCCTTCGGCATGTGGATTAACAGCACGGACCATTTTCCAGTCTTAGTGTCAATAGTCAATTCGCCAAAAAGGAAGCCAAAAGCGCAATTCTCCGCCTCAGTCTTCCGTCTTCAACTCCCGACTACGAACATCCTTATTCCCACCATCACGATACACCAGACTGACTCAATTCTCCGCCTCCAGATCATGCTTTGTTGCTCCCGCTCTCTGGTAACAACACGAATCGATTCCCACTTTGTATCATCTGCCATGTGGGTCGTATGGGCCCCCGCGGATGCTATCCTGGAGGCGCGCTTCTTCTCCATGGGGGGCGCAACATTAGACAAGTCTGGCCCCATGGGTCATGCACCATGCGTGTGAGCCGAGTTCTTCGTTCCGGACGAACACGCGACGACCGGGGCATCGGAATAGGGGACTCCACTCCTTCTTTTTTTTCTCGGTCTACCGTGACCGTGCTCCTGAACTGATTCTTTTGCCTTGCTCTCCACGTGGAGGAGAAAAGAGTTTGGTATATAGACCTGGCCTGTCCCCCGGTGACAGACAGTTGGTGATGCATCCCGGTGTCACGGTCCTCACAGGCTCTCGTCCGAGTCCAGACAATTCAACAACGACCTCATAGCCAGACCACACTACCTAATCTGTGAAGCTTGTTCTTCCCTGCCCCATTTCTTTGTTGTCAAGACTCTCGGGAGTTGTCCGAACAGCATCACAGTCAACATGGGGAAACCAGTCGAAGAGCTTGACAGCCTGCCGAGCGATGGCAAGCCGTGGTGGAAGCATGGCTACTTGGTGAAGCTCAACTTCATCACCACGTCTATGATCCTGTTCTGTATGTAAAACATACTCTCTGTTAACCATCACCTGTTCCTCGCAACTAACCTGCGACAACCTTAGCGTCCGCCAACGGTTACGATGGAGGTATCATGGGCGGTCTCCTGGCCCTCAACACATGGAACACCTTCATGGACTTTCCCACCGGCGCCTACCTTGGCTGGATCGGAGCCATTTACTGGCTCGGAAACGGCGTTGCCTTCCCGGTGGCCGCCTGGGTCTCTAACCGCTGGGGCCGCAAGCCCGGCATCTACCTGGGCTACCTCTTCCTTATCCTCGGCGTCGGCATGCAGACGGCGGCCCAGAACGAGAAGACCTTCACCATCTCCCGTCTCTTCATCGGAATCGCCGCCTCCTGGCTCGGCAACGCCGCGCCGCTCCTGATCAACGAGATCGCCCACCCGAAGCAGCGCTCCATCGCCAACGCCCTCTTTATGGTTGGCTGGTAGTACGTTCTCAAACCCTGAATCCGTTGTGTTCCGAAAGACGATGCTAACAGAGCTGGGAAATAGTTTCGGCGGAACTTTGGTCGGCTGGATCGTCTTCGCCTGCCGCGACATCCCCTCCGACTGGTCGTGGCGCATCCCCGTCCTTCTGCAGATCGTCCTCCCCTTCGTCGCGCTCCCCGGCTTCCTGATGTCCCCCGAGAGTCCCCGCTGGCTCATCAGCGTCGGCCGCGTCGAGGAGGCCACCGAGGTTCTCGCGAAGCACCACGCCGGCGGCGACCGATCCAACCCCCTCGTCCAGTACCAGGTCGTCGAGATCCAGGCCACAATCAACGCCGAGAAGGAGGCTTCCGCCAGCGCGTCCTACGCCGACATGGTCAAGACCCCGGGCAACCGCCACAGGCTCTTCATCTCAATTACCCTTGGTGTCTTCGCCCAGTGGGCTGGTGAGTTGTTCCCTCTCGAAACCTGCCCTTTAGGGTCTTCGCTGACCTGGTTTTCGTAGGAAACGGTGTCGTTTCGTACTACCTGCCCCTCGTGCTCAACTCCGTCGGCGTCACCTCGACCACGAACCAGACCCTGATTTCCGCCTGCCTGAACGTGTGGAACCTCCTCTGGGCCATCGCCGCCGCGACCAACGTCGACCGTCTCGGACGTCGCTTCCTTTTCCTGACCTCCGCCAGCGTCATGTTGACCAGTTTCATCATCGTCACCGGCCTCAGCGCCAAGTTCGCCGAAACCGCCTCCTCGAGCGTCGGCATGGCCGTCATCCCCTTCCTGTTCATCTTCTTCGCCGGCTACGACATCGCCATGTAAGTCCCCAGCAGCAACCCCAAAATCCCAACCCCTTGACTAACACATCGCAGGACCCCCTTCCTGACCGCCTACCCCTGCGAGATCTGGCAATACAGCCTGCGCTCCCGCGGCCTCACCGTGACCTGGTGCGCCAGCGTCGTCGCCATCTTCATCAACACCTTCGTCAACCCCATCGCGCTCGAGGCCATCGCCTGGAAGTACTACATCGTCTTCATCGTTGTGCTCTTCTGCCTGCTCATCGTGTCCTACCTGTACTACCCCGAGACGCGCGGCCACACGCTCGAGCAGATCGCGGTCATCTTCGACGGCGACAGCGCCGCGGCGCCCCCGCCGGCGGTGACGAGCGAGAAGATGGAGGTTATGGTCACGCATGGCGACGAGTCGGATAAGAGGCAGGAGTTCCAGAGTGATGCGGAGCATAGGGTTTAAGGGTTTATTGAGTTGATGTGGTATTGGGCTACGATGAATGTGGTCTGGAGGAACAAAATCTACGAATATTAGTGTAATTGAGATATCCCTGATGTCTAGTCTATGCTTCACGAATCGCACATCGCTATGATGCAGGCTTTCATCGCAATGATACCTTGGAGCCTATCGCGATTCAGCCTTACCAGTAATCCAATGTTCTTGGTAATCAGGAGACTTGCCTACAGTTTTTCCATTTTTTGCACACGATATGTGAGCATGCGATTGGCTTTTTTGATTGGATCCTATCAGCTCAAGCCTGTCATATGCATCTGAGTGGCTGAGCACTGCCTCCCACAGATCACGAAGTGCATACCCCTCACTTAACCAAATCAGGCCGAGTAAAATCTTTACTTCTTCATTCAGATTCTTCTCTTATTTCCTTTTCCCAATCGCGGTCGTCGTTCTGTTGCATGTCCCGTCATCTCAGATCACCTTTCGTGTGGTGTTTCCGAGCGGCACAGCATACCATGTCTATCCGACTGATCGACGTTCAGACGCTGCGACCCAAGTCATTCAACGGCCAAAAAGCACCTCCATATGCCGTTCTATCGCATACCTGGGTCGAGGATGAAGAAGTCAGCTTCCAAGAAATGTGCCAGATTGCCGAGGAGCCCGGCCACCTGGCGACACAGAAGTCCGGATATCGTAAGATCTGGGAAACTTGCCGCGTGAGCTTAGCCTACGGAATCGACTATGCCTGGGTGGACACTTGCTGCATCGACAAATCTAGCAGCGCCGAATTGAGCGAAGCCATCAACTCCATGTTCAACTGGTATCGAGATGCGGCAGTGTGCTTTGCATACCTGAGCGACTACTATTTCCTCGGTCCCAGACATGTGGAAAGAATGAGAGAGTGCAAATGGTTCACTCGTGGCTGGTGCCTTCAAGAGCTGATAGCCCCCAAGTCTCTGATCTTCTACGACCAGGCGTGGAAGGCTTTCGGCTCAAGGCACGATCTGCAGGCATTGATCGCTTCAATCACGCGCATAGATGAGAACGTACTCGCAGACCACGCCGCCATGTACTCAATGCCCGTTGCCCGAAGAATGTCTTGGGCGTCGAGCCGGGTCACCACCCGTGTTGAAGACACTGCGTATTGTCTTCTTGGGGTATTCGACATCAATATGCCTATGCTATACGGAGAGGGGGGCAAGGCGTTCATACGATTTCAAGAGGAGATCATCCGACGTTTCAACGATACATCAATTTTCCTATTTAGTCCAGAAGTATCATCGTCTGCACCACCAGTTAGATGCGAATATCCAGAAAGCAGCACAGGCAAGCTTTATAGAGCTTCATATTGGGGCGATTCGCAATTTCTGGCCGCACAGTACCTCAAGGAGTTGTCGAGCTACCGGTTTTGCGGCATGTTCGCCCATTCACCAGCAGATTTTCATGCGGGTGGAGATGTTGTGCATAAACACGGTTCCAGGGCCTCATTTGACAGACAAGCATTTTCAGTAACCAATCGAGGCGTCCAGCTGGGCAACCAGCTCCTGTGGTATGACTGGGGAAAAGACTGCTTCATTTGGGAGACGGCCTTCCGTCACTCCAATCACATTAATCGTATGATCGATGGAGCTATCTTTCTTCGGAAAATTGGTCGGAAACTTTTTGCCAGGGTACTGATCCCTATGGAAGAGGAATAAATCAACCGGGCGCGATACATCTTCCACGATGATGTTTGCGTCCTTCCCCACATAACACCTTTGATTCAGGATCAGATATACAGAACTCTCCAGGCTGTCTTGTGCATCAAGATCAAGCACGATGCTTGTCTCTCTGTGTCTTTTTCAGGACAAACTCCCATAAATATCTGGGATGAATCTGGAAAGCTGTTTCTGTTCCCTGAAAACTACTACAGTACGAGTCTCAATTCCCCTCTGGATGACAATTCTTTTACGAGATCTGTCCAAGTCACTATCAAGGGGAAAGTGTTCAAGGAAGTGAACTTCTTTCTGCGATTTCTGTTTAGGCATCCGTACCCCAATGCCGGAGAAGCCTATGTTTTACTAAGTAAATATCCGGCCACGAAATACAGGAGGTCGTACACGGATGGCGAAGACACATTTGATAAATATCTGAAAGCCGGCCTAGATGTTGGAAAGTTGTCAGCTCAATCGCATGGATCTTTTGGCGGCCTTAGTGTAGATTCCCATGTCTACCGAGAACTTTCTCACTCAACGGGTTCTCCAATCTATATATGTTTCCTGGAGATTAGTCAAAGCCAGGACGAAGACAGTAGCAACCGGAAATAATGAGAATGATGGTCTTCTCACTATTACTCAACAGAGATGTGTCTTTCTTTCTTAGCATCTTACTTCCTTTTGCGGACTTCTTTCATACTTCGCTTCCACAAATCTTTGTGGTAAACCTGATGGTCTCTACTACTTTTCTTACGAGACATCTGCATCACTTTTATTTGTTTTGTCCAGTTAAAAGAAAGGTGAACTTCGGGAACATGGCCGCCGCTCCCAAGACGCATGTGGCGTGATGATGGCTTCTTCGACTAGCAATTGCCACTCCAGGCCTTGGTGCTTCGAAGGATTATGATGAGATAAAGTACACCCTGGCAAGATGATTCGTCGTAACTTCAAGCTCATACTTGTGTCAGTGGAAAACGTTCATATTCTACGGCTGGAAACATTGATCATCCAGCGCAATCGTCTCCGCAAGTTCGAGGCAGCCATCTCCCCCCTGTGTATATGATAGCTAAATAACCTTAGAAAGGTTGTTTGAATATTCCGTCCCATGACTTGGATCGCGAGTAATAAAGAGCGCTGCTTGCTAAACGAAGTTTCTTTGTTGCAATTGAAGTGTTAGGTATAATTGAGGAGCAGATCCAGTTCAGTTTGATCTGTAATCACATCCAACCCACGGGAGTCAGAACCACTACTCCCTTGAAATGTTGACCATGATTTACTCAAACTATTTGGTCTTCATATCGACAAGACGGAAGTAACCCCTTACCGAGCACACTCATTCAGCGGTGTGGGAGAGATATGGAGGACTGCTAGACAGAGGTTGATCGCAGACTAACGTTTGGAACCACATCATGAAAGCACCGTCCGCATGTTAAGTTTTGAGTTATTTTTTTTGAAGCGAATGTGGCGCAGTCAGTATCGCGCTTGCTGCTGTTGGGAAGAGTATCTTACTCAGGCAGTGTCAGGACAAAGTGCCTGATCGTGATTTGGACAAGCGCGCTGCCATCCCATTCGCCTCAGAGCTCAAAGATGTGCCGCCTACGAACAGCTCGGCTCCTTACAGACACTCTACACTGCGGAGGGGGTGTGCCGTCAGCATCTTATCGCACGATAGGGGCGTCTCCTCAACCCTCTAGTCGCTTGTCAGGATCTTGCATAGCATTCTTAAGCGCGATCCTTCTCAAAGTCGCGGTTCGAACGGACGGAAAGGATTCAGGCACAGTGAACGAGGAGCTCGCGATGGTCATTGGCCCTCTCGCCAGCAGGATCCAGCCATATCGCGATGCCCACGTCGCCAGTGCGGCCCCCCTCACGTTCCAACGCCAACGGCAGGATCCCCCCAACACACCGTCTGCGTTGGACCAACACGAGCAGAATTCTGCCCTGCCGCAGCTGGTAGCCTGTTGACGAGAAAAGTGTGGCTGCATGCCACCATGCTCAGCCATAGCAAACTTGGGAAAATAAACTTATCTCGAACGAGAGACGATGCGCGAAAGCTGGCGAATGGGATTGAAGGGCGGGTGCAGAGGAACAGACGCGAAGGATTGCGAAGCCATTGACGAACGAATGGCGGGTGCTGGTAGTCAAGTTGGGCAGCGCTTATTGACAGGCGTAGGATCTGGGCCCCTCGGCTAGAGAAAAGAAAAGATACTGTAAAGAATCGGCAGATGGCAGGCGGCTCTGATGACTGACTGGGGGAAAACGTCTCGGGAAGCCTGAGTCCAATGCTCGTCATCTGTTTCCAAATTCCAAGACAAAGTTGACGCGGGAGCAGGCGGGAGGGTCTCTCAAGACCCGTCCGGCGGCCTAACCTCGCACAGACAGGCGCGCGCTGTTGAGTCCGGAGGACGGAGCCTGGAGCTGCGGTGTATCGGAGCCAGGCAGGCAAGATAGCCGGGGGTAGTATTTTTCCTTCCCTGGGGGCCAGATTTGTGTTGCATGGGGAGGGAAGTCTCCGAGTCGTCGACGGCCAACGGGTGCTTTCGTATAGGCTTGTTCGGCCGGGTCCAATGGCTGGTGTGCATCACATGGCGCGCGCTCTCGTACTCGCCATTTCCTGGCCAGGTGGCTGGTGGACTTGATCGAGGGCCGTTTTGGATGGAGAGCGCTTCAAGCAAGAGAAAAGATAGGCTCAAGTTGAAAGACGGGTCATCGAGGTCGAGACGCAAAGCGGTGCCGCGCGCGGAGTGAAGCAGGAAAATGAAGGTCGGGATGGAGCAGAGGTTTGAAAATAGAGCAGGCGTTAAAGCTGGACTCGAGATATGTCAATGTTGGAAAATGTAAACAAACGGAGATGATGGATAAATGGTGAAAGCCCGGCGGTGTTGGTGAGGAAGGTGAAGCTCATGATCAGCACCTTCCAGAGTCATCACCATCACACCGGACCCCAAAAGCGCAGTCACGGCCCCCAGCGCTTTCCTCCCATCAATTCCACCTCCTTCCAACAATCCCATCACGGCAGGCAGCTTACCCCTCCCCTTCCACAATCCGCGTGGCTTCCATCTTGGCTCTTCTCCATTTCCCTGCATCCTGCCATCTTCTTCCCTTGCCAGGTTCCATTCCTTGTTCAGCTGTGTCCAGTTGCACCTACGGATCCTGTGACGCGGCATCTCCTTCTCGGCTTCTCGTTTTCTCGTCTTTCGGTCCCACAACGATCACGAGTCTGACGACACCGTGACCTGACGGCACCACCAGAGTTTTCTCTCTCTGCTTCCTCTTTGCCCAAACGCATCACCGCCATCCACCTCATTCCGGTCATCGAGATATCCGGACCAAGGCCTCGTGTGCGTGTTTGCCCTGCCACCGCTAGCCTCGGAAGCCCCTTCGACCAACGGGAATCCGACACCGCCTTGCCACTCATCACCGTCGGGGCCGGCTCTCGACACATCTTCCCGGTAGAAGAAGCCATCTGCAAGATCTGGTGGTCGACATTGGGATTTGACAAGTGGAGGTGAGAAGGAAGCGCAGCACCGGACAGCGACCAATGAAAAGGATACAGCGCTAAGAATAGGAATAGCCAGCACTCGCCCGCGGAACGCAGCCCGAACGTGTGCCCCCGGTCCCTGACAATCCCACCGTCTCCCGCTGCCTCTCACTGGCTACAGCGTGCTGTTTCTAGCGCCCTCCAAGCAGGTTCCCCTCCGGGCCCAGTTAGCCCGCATTCACTTAGTGAGCCCCAGCGACGGGCAGGCCGCGCTGCACAACACCTCACCTCAGCCTCCCAAGGGCCCAATCACGGCTCTCGTTCCAGCTTCAAGCCAGCATCGAGGCCGCTTTCTCCACGCCGGCCAGCATCGTCGCTCACGGTCACTGGCCAATTGCTCTCACCTTGGTACGAAGACACTCGCAGGTGCCGGTTACCTGTCCCGGGCAGCCAATCCACCATCACGACGCCCATCGTCATCAACCCGAGCCTTGGAACACTAGCTTCTCAAATACGTTGGGCTGATACCCGACGCCGACCACCTACGTTAGACCAAGTCCGGCATCGACTCTTGTCCTCCACACGACACACAAGACAACATCACACCTCCCGGGCGAGAGGCCACGAGGCATCCACGATCGCGCGACGGGACAAACGGTGATCCCAGCAGCCATCGCAGCGCCATCCTCCGCCAACCGCTTCGCTCCAAGCCAAGCCCTTCCCATTGGCCGTCTCGTCTTCCGAAGAGCACCGACAACACCAACACCACCAACAACACCTCTGCTCGGACGACCTGAAAGAAAGGCGCATCCCATCACAGTACACTGCAGCAGCCAACAGGCCTTAGGACTCGTCCAACACGCACCAAGCACAGCACAGCGCAGCACATCACACCTCTGGCATCACAGAACACAGATTACATTCACACACATACATACTCTCTCTTGCATCCATCACAGCCCCGCGAAGAAGAACCGCCAACCGCTGCGCCGTCGTCACAACCCCCCAAATTTGCCCGCTTTCTTCTGCCCTGCAACGAGCCGATTCGTCCCAAAGGGGCCGTTTGAGAAACCAAACCCACCCAGTGGAAGTCACTGGCAGAGGCAAATTAGCCTCAGCAAACCCGCCCAACCCCTGCTCGTCTGCCCTGTCAGGCCCCGTCTCTCTGGCCAGTCGCCGTCGCGCTGTCTCCTGCAGCACGCTCAGCACGCACTAAGGCAGGGAACACCACACACCACACGCGCCCGCGCAGCGAATCGAGTCGTCGCTTGCTCACGCCCGTCAGCCAATCCCATCCCTTCCGTCCGCCGTCCCCTTGCCGCTTTTACGGCATCCCGGCCGCCGTTCCTTTGGACGCTCCTCTCGACGAGTCGACTCCCGTCCACGCTCGACGAGCATCCCCACCACCACACGTTCACCTCCTGGCCGTGTCTCCAGACTCACACTCCCATCGACGCTCCCGCCGCGCGCCACGCCTCGACTCTCGTTGGACCATTCGTCTTGCTGTCACCAACGCATCACG